AACCCATTTCTTTGGGATTCCAAGGTAGACTGAAGACTCTCTAGGGCTATTCCAGGATTCCAGCTCCAGATTTGAGCTGTGGAGACTTCCAGTCTCATGGACTGAACAACTACCAGATTCTCGATCTTTTTGTCTTGTGACAGCCATTGTTGGACCTCCTGGATCATATCCTGTAAGCCACCCTAATAACACACACACCACACACACACACACACACACACACACACACACACACACACACTTTTCTCACATATGTGTTAGTGTTATCCAATTTGATCCCTTTGAGAATCTTGTCTAATACACTTACCTTCTTGGAATGTCTTAGGCTGAAATGTATTCCTATCTCTTAGGTAGTCAGAAAAAAAAAGCCACTAGCTAAGATGTTATGCCTGTAGTTTCAGAACTAGGGAAAAGCCAGGAAGACCATGAATTGAAGACTAACCTGGGCTACATCATGAGAGCCATTTCATGGAGGAGGGAAAAAAGGAAACAATGATTGTTTGAACCAACTTTCAACTGGGTTTCCATTCATCTTCCAGTTGAGTGTTTGTTATTTTCCTTCTCTGTAGCATCCCATTCACATTCTTTTCATATTATTCTAACACTTGAAATTTCTCAGGTATATTTGGAGCCATTTTTAGTGCAAAGTTTATGTCTTTAAGATTCCCCATTCTTTAAAAATCTCCCTTCATCTTCTCCCCATTCACCCCACCACTTCAGGATCTCAACATGTTATTAAGGATAGCCCCCACAGGCTCAGACGAATGCTTAGTCAGCATGTATTAGCACAATTTGAAAGGATTAGAAGGATTATGAGGTGCGGTTTTGTTGGAGGAAGTATATCATTAGGGATGGACTTGCCAGGCCCAGAGTCTGTTTCCCCTTCCCCGATTCTCTGCCTCTGGAGGCAGCTGTAGCTTTCAGCTACTGCTCCAGCACCTACCTGCATGCTACCATGCTTCCTGCCATGATGATAATGGACTAAACCTCTGAAACTGTAAACAAGCCTCCAGTTAAATGCTTTCTCTTTTAAGAATTGGTCGTGATGTCTCTTCACAGCAACAGAACAATGACTGAGACAAATGTTAAGAATTCTATGAAGCCACTCTTTTACTCTTTGCTTATTTAAAATAAACGTGTGGTAACAATTTGTTTTTGATCTGTCTTCTCCTTTGGATTATAGAGCACAGGATATAAAAGTCTCTATGTCTTTTGTCCCTTGGTATGCCCTGGTTCTTCCCACTGCCCAGTCCAAATATTTCCCAATGATGTGAATAATTCCCAGTGACGTGAATAGAGCAGTATGAAGAAAGTAAAGGTCAATGCACCCCCCTAAAAAGAAGAGTAGTCCACAAGTCATCCTGTGTTTGAGAAGAAGAGTAAACAAGACTGAATCCACCCTCTTGGAAGAGGTATGCCTGGTACCAGGTGCTCTGTGAAACTTTGCATAAGCAATACAATAAGATCCACAAAATGTCCGTTGGAGTCTTTTTGGGAAGACAACACTTCATTATCCTAAAATAAGATACTTTGAATCATCTTAGATAATCTTTTGTTTAAAGAACTGAAAGTTTCATTAACAAAGAATATCAAGATTTAGCATACAGGGACCAAGAGCAAGATATGTAGATCTGAACACCAGATTTCTTTTCCCTTTTGTGATGTACTTAGAGATGGGCCGCACACCCTTTGTTTAGCCCTGACTAAAGTGTAGTATTGCTTACAGGCCGATGCAGTTAACCATTGTTTATATGCAGTAAAGCTGATGAGCCTTAGGTCATAGAGACTTCACAGAAGCCAAAGATTATAGGATAGAAGTGAGGAATTTCCTTTTTGAATGTGTATGTATGTGTATGGGGGTATACCATGTGGTGCCTGAGACAGCCGCTCACAGAGGTGTAAAGAGGGTGTCTGATCTCCCTGGATGGATATAAACTGCCCCACATGGGTGTTATAAAAGCATCTCTTACATTCTAAGAGATGAACTTTTGCTGGAACTCATAATCAGAGCTAATAATACACTTGAGAGTCACTTAAAGCTAAATACGTCTATCCTGCTTTGTACTTAGCCTGCCTGCCTTTCTGAAAACAATGTGACAACCAACCTCACTTCCTTGACTTTTCCATGTAATCAGTCAGCTTCTACAACCTAAGCTAATGTATAGCTATACTCTTTTTTTTTTTTTTTTTTTTTTTTTTTTTTTTTTTTGGTTTTTCGAGACAGGGCTTCTCTGTGTAGCCCTGGCTGTCCTGGAACTCACTCTGTAGACCAGGCTGGCCTTGAATTTAGCTATACTCTTATATGCTGTACTCTTCCATGCCCCTGACCCAGAGTAGCACATGTGTATGTGCGTATTAGAGTAATAAATGTTAGTAATTGCAAATAGGTTGAAAGCGACCTTATAAAACAAATATCCACCGTAAAAGTTGAAGACAGCATTTAGGTATTGCTTGATAGCATTTGTTTGTTAGTTATCTGGTTCAGTTGGGATGAGTGACTTAATCTGGTAAAACACTATTAAAGATTTCTCTATTAGTAGGCACCCATCCAAACTAAAACCATCACTCTAGTGTTGTACTCTAGAAGCTCTGGGGTTTGCTAAATTTGCCTGATTTCATGTGTTAACGACTGAGAACACTTAGCCTTGTTGACAAAGGTGACTTAATAGGGAAGAGACATTAAAACGTAGCCCTGGTACATATCTTGTCTCCTCTGAACAGTGAAAGCAAAGGAAGCAATATGTCTACTTCTCTTCCATGCGGAATCATGGCGAGCCAGGCTTGGCCAGCTTCAGGCTGAGCAAACCATCTGCACTCTGTGTTCTTTCTTCCTTTTGCCAGGAGATCAGTCATGGTAGCTGACTTGACAGTTGTCTTTCCTTCTAGGACCTTTTTAGGTACCTGAGAGGTTGAGGCTTCCTCTCTATAGGCAGAGCCTCCAGTTTGCCTGCTAGTGGGAGCCCCTGATGGGTAGGAGTGTAGGGTACACTACACATAGCAGTCATCAGATTCCAGTGATGTCAACTACTTTAAAGGAGAAAACTGGAGTTTTCTCTCCTTTGAGATGCAGGGTGGAGATGGCTGATGCTGTTTCTAGCCAGATTCTGCACTAAGCCCCAACTTTGGAAGCATTAAAGATTTTCAGTTGGAATTAAGAGAAAAATGCAGTGGCAGGTGGCAAGGAGGAGCCTAGGGATTGGAGAGGTGGTAATCTTGGCCTTGCCTCTGAAGGTCAAGCAACTTCTCAACCCCAGGGTCTCCTACAGATGAGAGCAGAAAACATGGAGACTACCAGGGAGAATCTGAGAGAAGGGAATGGGACACTTGAAGGCTTTGTTATTGTCCCACAACCCTGTGGGTGTTAGAAGGTGGGACCTGAGGAGCAGCTCGGTGCTGATAACACATATTCCTGGGCCCTTACCACTCTGTGAGCCATGAGCTGTAGAGCTACACAGAGAATCAGAGCTTCAGCAGCTTAACTGAGGTCACACAGCCAGTAGGCTGACTTTCACAGACTAAAGGCCTGACTCTGTGATTTCTCTTAGACTTAACTGTGGCTTTCAGAAGGGTATCTCTTAGCTGCTGCCTTTCCCCATAGTTTCAGACAGCGTGCCTGTCACTCAGAAGGAGAAACATTTGGGTATTATTTGATTTGCTGACACATGCATTTTGCAAACCCAAAGAACATTCTGCAGGCTGCCTGGAGTTACCAGGGAAGCAGCTGCAACTGTTTTCATCCCCAGTTGCTGGCTCAGGGATTGCCTTTAGTCATGGAAAGTCCCTTCCCCAGATAGACTCCAGTTTTCCATTGGCCTCTCTTACTGCTAAAATAGAACCAGGCGAATCTCCCAGACATCCAGCGAGAACAGGTGCAGCTGCTGCCCCAGAGTTTGTGAGAGGTGAGAAGATCTCGTATTTTTACAGGCACAGTCTCATTCCTCTGGGTGTTGCATCTCTGTTCCACTCCAACTGAGAAGCTCTCTTTACTTCTGAGAGTCCTCAGCCAAGAGTCTCCATTCTCAATCTCTCTCTCTCTCTCTCTCTCTCTCTCTCTCTCTCTCTCTCTCTCTGCCCGCTGTCCTTAACCTTCAGAGTTAGCGTTGCCTCTGCTTTTAAGAGGCAAAGGGTAGGAACTTGACAGAGAGTTAGCACAGGCATCGTTTTAGATCCTGAGGCTCCTTCCCTATGGCCTTCCTCTACCCCAACACTCATACTAATGTCCCAGATGAAGCACGATGACCTCCAACCACAAGATCTGTTCAGTAGACACAACCAGAAACATGTGACTTGGAAGGTCTATTTTTAAAAGCAGGTTTGGTCTGGGGTTTTTTAGCCTGCTACAAAGAACAGAAATGACCAGGACATATGACATTACAGCACAGGACACAACAGAGCACAGGGACACAGAGGCACAGTCACCCTCCTTTCTTCCCTCTCCATGAGGTCCTTTTTGTTTTCCCATTTTCATTGACTCTCTGCCCCCAAACAAGCTTCCAAGACAGATAAGTGTATCTTTGTATTTATCTGCTCAGGCCACAGGACTGTGTGGATGGACGTCGCTGTACACATTTTCCTTATTGGGTACACTTAAGATGTGACACCAGGGGGATCGTTTTGAAAGAATCAGCTCAGTTCAGCCATAAGCAACCAGATTTGAATGTTTTCTCTGTTACTTGTTTGTTTTGTTTTGTTTTGTTTTGTTTTGTTTTGTTTTGAGACCGGTCTCATTGTACAGCCCTAGCTGGCCTGGAGCTCACTTTGTAAGCCAGATTGGACTTGAACTCATAGACCCACCTCCCTCTGCCCATGCTGGGATTAAGGGTGTGAGTCACAAAACCTCACTTGTTTGGAACTTTTTAAAAAAAAGATGTTTGACTAGGACAACCCTCTGATTCATAGCCTTTATAAGACACACAGAGGCCAACAAGTTTTGAAATAACGAAGAATAACAGAAATTGTGAACATGATACCATTTTGGAAAGAAAGACTGCATAAAATTATTCATGGAAATTATCTTTGCATTTTTAAAACCAGGAAAAGCTTGCTGTTCAGACTTCCAAAGCACACATTTGAACACAGATATTTGAGAGAACGAATGGTAGTTTTTTTAAAAAGAGGAATGCCTGATCCATTTCTTTACTAAATGTTCAAGAAAGCACAGGTGAGGAGTGACTTCAATTTCATAAGCAAGTAAGTATGTGTGCACACACTTGTGTGTCTGTTTTCTGATGACATCATCCCACACACAACCAGGAAGTCTGGTCAAAATGGGGCTTCTCACAGGGTTTGTCAGATGTCATGAGAGAAGAAAGCTAGAACACTGCACTTTTTTTACATCCTCCTGGGGACAGTGTGAGAATGGGATACAGTAAGAGGTGACTGGATTAGCCATGACCTCTGTGACTCAACTGGTGGTGGCGGGAGGAGCATGCATCCATCCCAAGTTACTGCTGAGAATTTTGCACAGGTAGTGTGGAACCTGACCTACGTAAGTGACAGGCTCAGTTGTGGAGGACACCAGGGTAATGCTGCTGGGGAGCATTTATTCCATGAAAAGGCTATATAGGCACAAATTGAGTGGTGTGTCTGGGGACCATCAAGCACGGTTGCTTTGTTGAATTTGCTCCAGGATCCCGAGTCATTAAGGTGAATGCTGCTGATGCTCAGCCACTAAGCACTGTCCATCATTTCTCCTGTTGTAGAAAGAAAGCATTTCTCCATTTGTGTCCATCTTGGAGCTGTTAGGAGTCTATGGAGAAAGAGGGGCATTCTAAGAAGGCAGCATAAGAGTCAACATCCAATGGTGAGATGAAGACATGAAGAAACAGGTGATCACCCAGGCCTTGGGTCCAACAAAGGTGATCTTTTTAGAAGTGTGTATGTCAAAGTCCCATCCAGGGCATCGTCAGCAGTGCCAGGAATTCAAGCTAAAGGGTGACATAGCTTTGAGTAACTAGAATGTCTGTCCCCAGTTGGGTGGGAACTTGGTCCCATTTCTGCACCATATTCTGAGGAATCTGGTCCTCTGAGGGCCAGGGGAGAATGAGATGGTGCTTCAGCCTTCTAGAGCAGCAGGTGTCTCAGAGGTGTGGAAATGACCACACTGAAGGTTCTAAGTGGGGGGTCTGAGTAGCTGGTTTCTCTGGCCAATCTCAGTGAGGCTAGGAGGGGCCAGGCGGGTAAGCTGGCCTGATGCAGCTTGTGTCTAGACAACAGAGGTTCTTTCAAACAGAGGTTTTTGAGCCTCCTGGCTCTGTCTCTGTGCACAACAGGGCTTCCTTTCTACCATTCTTCTTGAGGTTTAGCTCAGTCCCAAGCTCTTCCTGTGTGAATGCAGACACCGTTGACTCCCCTGAGGCAGGTGGAGCATCTGGCAGTGGTCAAGCTGCTGCATTCACCATGTTTTCCACAGAACAGCACCAAGGCGGATTGCTCCTTCTTCCCCCTGCGATGCTGAGGGCTCAGAAGACAGGGATCTGGTCTCTGCGAACCACATCCAGGTCATCATCCAGAGTCAACAACACCTGAAGTGAGAGAGTTGGAGATGGGAAGGGAACATAAGTCCTGGCCACACTAAGTCCCTGCTTTCTCTTCATGTCTCCCACAGATGAGTTATCTCCTCAGTTGGTCTCATATTTTTAGCAGTCGTCCTCACTGCCTTGTTTCTAACCGGGGTTTGCCGTTACTAAAGTATGGCTCATTTATCAAGTCACTTAAACACTCACGAAGTGGGTTCTCCTATGTTAGTCTTGATGCTGGAGACATGGCTGGGGGTGGGAGCGGCACCCACCCTCTGCCCTGGAGCTCCCATTCATGAAAAGATCTTAAACAGGAAGAAGGCATGTGAGGTAGAATATTTATATAGAAGTAGTATATTTCACAGTCATATGTGTAAGGGTTAAAATTAAACTAGGGAGTAGGTATTGGGAGCTTGAGGCAGAGAAAGGTAAAATACTTGGTAAGGTGGCCTGGGTAGTCATTGCTTAGACAGTGACTAACGGGAATGAAGTATAGCAGTCACTGTACAAGAAGAGAAAGAGGAAGGATTTTAGGAGCCATGGGGATTGAGGACTCCACAAAAACATGACCCACGGAATCAACTAAGTAGGGTTCATAGGAGCTCACAGACACCAGCAACAATCACAGACAGACCCTGTATGGGTCTGAGCTAGATCCTCGGCATATGCGTTATGGTTCTTGTAGGGTCACTAACAAAAGAGTGGGTATCTCTGATTCTTTTGTGCACTTGGGACCCTTTTCCTCCTACGTGTCACATACTCCAACCTTGATATGAAGGTTTGTGGCTAGTCTTGTATCATTTATTGTTCCATGTTCAGTTAATATCCCTGGAAGGCCGGCTCTTTTTTGAGGGGTTGGAGATAGAAAAAGGGTAAATCTAGGGGAGAGGAGGCAGGGGGATGGATGTGACTGGGAGGAGTGGGAGAAGGAGGAACTGTAGTTGGGATGTAATTTATGTAAAAAATAAAAATTCAAAAAGGAAGTAAGGAAGAAAGAAGAAGTAGAAGGAGGAAGATGAGGAAAATGAGGAAGAGGAGGAAGAGGAGGAAGAGGAGGAAGATGAGGAGAGAGACCGAAGGGGGAACCATTTCTGTTCTGCTTTAATTCCTGCCCCACACAGAACCACTAACTCCATTTTGTTATCTTTTGTCCCCCCCATCAGGAAAGTCCAAGTGTCAGAGAGAGTGGCTGAACTTCCCACACTGGCCACTAGAGGGAAGCCCTGCTCTACTTTTGTGATTGCAGGGCTGGCCTCAGAGGGCTTGAAGCCGTCTGCAGTGGCAATCCAGTTATCACCCCAGCCTGTGTTCAGGTACAACAGACATTTAATTAGGAGGAGAGAGAGGACTAAATGCTGACACGATCATCTTATGTAAGCATACCTACTCATGGATTCTGAGAAGGGACACAAGCAAACCCCACGGGCCATAGGTTTGTAATGTGTTCATTACGTGGCTTCTTTGAGCTTCTCTAGGAACTTAATCTTCACAAAATACACAGTGATGGGCTGGAGAGATGGCTCAGTGGTTAAGAGCACTGACTGCTCTGCCAGAGGTTCTGAGTTCAATTCTCAGCAACCACATGGTGGCTCACAACCATCTGTAATGTGATTCAATGGCCTCTTCTAGTGTGTGTCTGAAGATAGCTGCAGTGTGTACTCATATAAAATAAAAAAAACAAAATCTTTTAAAAAAAACACACAGTGAGACTGAAGAAAGGGACAGAAGACAGTCTATCATGAGAAGAAGGAAGCCTATGGATGAGAATTAGTGAATTTGCCCTAAGTGATGTCTAGGAGGATTCCGAACATTTGAATCGGATAACCAATTCCATCCAAGGGTACTGTGGGAATAACCAATTCCAAATAACCAACTAGCCAAATAACCAATTCCATCCAAGGGTACTAAGGGAAATAGTCTTGTCACTCTGTGTGTACAAACATTGACAAGTAGAGGAAGATGAAAGTTATGATGTCACACAAAGTTACAGTAATCGCGTGTGTGCGCGCGTATACACACACACACACACTCACGGAGATGGTCAGTACACTGACTGGCAGTAAAGAGCTGTTGAGAATAACTAAAAGGAATAAAGAGGTGTGAGGGGAACCGTGAGTCTTCAGATGGGGGAAGACACAGCTGACTCACCAAGAACGAGAAAAATAGGGCAGTAGCAGACAGGAAGTGCCAGATGTCATGGTCATCAAAGAAATCGAGCAGGACACACTCTCGGTTCTTCTCCCGGGATTCTGCTGGGGTTCCCTGTGGGGAAAGTGGGAGCAGATGTAGGCAAGCCTCCCATGGTTCAACTATTTCAGGGTTTGATTTTGAAGAAGCTACAAAAATCCTACTAAGAAAGTCAACTTTCAAGGATTGTGTATACAGTAGCTTATAGCAGCAGTGTTTATAACAGCTCCAGAGTAGAGACAACTCAAATGTCCATCAAGAGATGAATGGACTGTTTCACTGTGTCCCACAGTGGAAAATGTTTCAGTAATTAGGGGACATGCTGGTGCAGACCACACCATGGAGGATCTAGACACTATTACGCTGTACACTGCACGGATAAAGCCAGACTCAGAGGGCACATGGTATGTGGACCTACCTCTAGACAATGGTTCTCAACCTGTCAGTCAAGGCTTTTTGGGGGGTGGGGTGAGTCACACATCAGACAGCTTTCATACCAGCTATGGACATCACAATTCATAACTAGCAAAATTACAGTTATGAAGTAGCAACAAGATAATTTTTCGGTTGGGGGTCACCACATCATGAGGAAGCGTTGTAGCGTTAGGAAGGTTGAGAACCTCTGCTCTAGAAAATGTCCAGACTGGCCACTCTATAACCACAGAGGGTAGGTTAATGGCTGGCAAGTATTGCTAGTTCAAGGAGAAACAAAATGACTGCTCACGAGTTTTCTTTCTGGGGTCACGCACATGTTCTAAAATCAAATGTGCTGATGCTGAGGTAGAACTGAGACTTTATTCATGTGCTGCAGAGACAGCACTGGTTCCTGAGACCTCAGCCTTCCTGTCTACAAGATAGATATAGTAGTACTGTGCCCTGCCCTTCCCCGCCCCGCCCTTGCATGTGCTGGTTTCAATGAGAAAGACTTTGACAATATGCTAATCAAGTGTTAAATATCTCCTGCAAACAGACCATAAGAGAATAATGAAGATCATGTTTGCAGTATCTACAGGGCTTTCAAGTTCATGTAGTATTACCTCAGTAATGTCACTGGCCTGCTATTTAAGTGTGCCTGTTAAGCCTTCTCTTTTCTGGAAAAGCTGTGAATTTAGATAATGGAGAAAACAAGCAAAAAGCAAGAGAGGGAGAAGAAGGTCCAAAAGGCATGATGGAGCAAGAACTGAGAGAGAAAGAGAGAGAGAGAAAGAGAGAGAGAGAGAGAGAGAGAGAGAGAGAGAGAGAGAGAGGTAGAAGAGGGGGAGGAGGAGGAGAAGGAGGAGGCAAGGAGGAGGAGGAATAACAAGAGGAGGAGGAGGAGGAGGAAGAGGAGGAAGAAGAAGAGGAGGAGGAGAAATGAAATGAACAGGTCTCTTACCTCCCAGCTGCTGAGGTTCTGGAAGAAAAAGTACAGGGCAGCAGCCCACACCACAGCAGTGGCCACGATGCAGAAGATTGGTAGGGGGAGGACCTTCTCAGAGCTTCGAAGCTATGGAGAGATGCAAACCACTGAGGCTGGAGCCTCAGCTGCGAGCAGGCCCCCTGGTGCGGCCAGCTCCTCACATGTGCTCACCTTCATGATAATGTAGAAAGCCAAATACAGCAGTAGGTTGCAGATAAAGATGCCCAGCATGTAGGAGGCAAAGTCCCTGGGCCGGTAGATCAATCCAAAGAAGGCACTGTGGATGTGGGATAGGGTGTTGGGAGCAGGTAAAAGGGGGTGCCATGAGTGGATCCTTAACCACTGCTGGGGAGTTCACTGAAAACACACTTTAAAACACAGGCATGTGATGCACAGTAGGTGCGTTTGGCATTGTGTGAACATCTAGAATGAATTTACACAAGCCAAGATGACCACCATGTCGCTTGGCCATATCATCTTTTGGGACCACCATGTATGTACATGTGGTCCTCTGCTAACTGAAATGTCTTTAGATGCTGAGTGACAATTATACAACTTAATGAATAATAAAACTTTTAATTTATTTCAGCTTTGCTGGAACATTCATTTCTAGTGACTTCACAAAGTTCTTTTAGGTGAATGCACTGTGAAGAGCCATTTTTTCTCTCTGGGTGAAATGGTTTTCCCAGAATCCGTTAATTTCATGATTATAAACAGCACTGTCGGGAATAAGTGAACCCCTGGGATGTACTTCATTTGTTTACATTTAAGATTATTAGTTCAGGGGCTGGAGAGATGGCTCAGCAGTTGAGTACTGACTACTCTTCCAGAGGTCCTGAGTTCAAATCCCAGCAACTACATGGTGCCTCACAACCATCTGTAACGGGATTGGATGCCCTCTTCTGGTGTGTCTGAAGACAGCAACAGTGTACTCACATATATAAAATAAATGACTCTTTGGGGGGGGGAAAAAGATTATTAGTTTATCAGACTAGAAAACTGCAGGTAGGATTACCTCAGTAATTAGCTTGACAGATGTTACAAGTTTATGCCAGCTTTCCATATTTAATTTAGCACCGAAGTTTACTCTGTCTGAAGGTTAATTTTAAGTTTGTTTTAAATTCTATTCGTATAACAAAATATTTGTAACCCCTCCACCTCAAGATAAGGTTTCCATGTGTATCCCTGGCTGGCCTGGAACTTGCTCTGTAGCCAGGCTGACCTCTGCCTCTCAAGTGCTGAGATTAAAAACCCATGTCACCATACTTGGCTGTAACTCTTCTTCATCTCCTTATTTGAAAGATTTTTTCCTCTTTAAAAATAAATAAACTTTTAAAAACGTACAGTGTGATGGATGGTATATACTGGTAATCTCAGCACTTTGGAAGCTGAGGCAGGAGGATTGCCAAAAGTTTGAGGCTATCCTGGTCTATATAGTGAGGACCAGGTAAGTCAGGACTACATAGCAAGACCCTGTCTCAAAAAGAAAAAAAAATGACACAGGATAACACAAAACCAAACAACTGTATCTTGACTCTAGGACACAAGTAAAAACTGTCAAGAAGAATTTTATCAAACTAAAGAGCTTCTATGTCGCATACAGTTCACAGAGTGAAGAGGAGAGAAAGTGGTTGTCAACAATTCTGGATTGATTACTTTGGGCTAAAATCTGTCCTGGATAGTTTGGGTTTTTTGTTTTGTTTTGTTTTTTGTTTTTGTCATCTTGATATAAGATAAGACCATCTGGGAAGAGGAACTTCAATTGAGAAAAAGCGATTCCATTGGGTTGGCCTGTGGACAAGTCTGTAGGGCATTTTATTGATCAGAGCTTGTGAAAGGGCCCAGCCTACTGTGGGTGGTGTCATTCCCTAGGCAAATGGCCCTGGGTTGTATATAAAAAAGCAGGCTGAGTAAGTCAGTAAGTCAGTAAGCACTGCTCCTCCATGAAGCTGCTTCATTTCCTGTCTCCAGGTTCCTGCCTTTAGTTCCTGTTATAACCTTCCCTCCGTGATGGACAACTGTGATCTGAAAGAAACCCTTCCCTGCTTTTTGTCATTGGATTTATTGTATCAACAGCAAAGAAAACAAAACATTATCCAAATAGAAAGAATTCACAAAACAATCATACAAAAACCAAGTAATACAACTTAAAAATGGGCAGCTGAGGGATGGAGGTCTGGCTCTGAGGGTAAAGTGCTTGCTGTAGAAGCATGAGGACCTGAGTTCTAATCCCCAGGCATGGCAGAGCACACCACTAACGCCAGAACAGAGACAGGGAGATCCTGGCACCTCATTGGCCAGGCTGTCTCATCAAAATACTAAGCTCCGAGTTCAGTGTGAGACCTTTTCTTGAAAAATAAGTGGAGACCAATAGAGAAAGACACCCCAGATTTCAAGAGGGAGCTCCCTGGTGTTTGAACCTGTGCATACGTGTGCTCTCGAACACACACACACACACACACACACACACACCACAAAGGAAGGAAGAACTTTATAAAAACTAATGTTTCCTCAACGGTCATATGCAAAGTTCTACAAGATAATTTAAAATTATGTTGCAGTTTTACCCTCATGGACATAATCTCTCCCTCCCTCCCTTCCTCCCTTCCTTCCTTTCCTTCCATCTATCCATCCATTCATCTAATCAATTTGTTCACATAGGTATTTTTCTTGTTGAGAAAATTCTATAAATGCATCAATTATCAAGAAAGTGTGCTCAGCAAAGCAGGGGGTTTTAGAGGAAGCCCCCACTAGTATACAAGAGCTTCCTAGTGCTGATATTTAATTAAAATATTTTATTTAGCTATTTATTTGTATATATGAACATATCACAGTGTGTGTTCACGTGCGCACACATGTGTAGGTCAGAGGACAACTAGTGGAGTTGGTTCTTGCCTTTCACCATGTAGGCTCTGGAGAGAGAACTCAAGTTGTCAGGCCTTACAGAGTGTGCCTTTGCCAACTGAGCCATCTCTCCAGCTTCCTAGTGTTTACTACTGTGTCTTTGTTTATTTGTTTGTTTGTGGGAGGATACCTTTTTTTTTTGTTTTTTTTTGAAACAGGGTTTCTCTGTGTAGCCCTGGCTGTCCTGGAACTCACTCTGTAGACCAGGCTGGCCTCAAACTCAGAAATCCGCCTGCCTCTGCCTCCCAAGTGCTGGGATTAAAGGCGTCTGCCACCACTGCCCAGCAAGAAGGATACCTTTTTATCAAGTCTCTGGGACAAGCAGTTTAGCTGTCTCCTCAATTTCAGATTTCCTTGTAAAATGACAGTAAGAAAACCCATTAAACTGCATTACAGATAACAATAATGATAAGAACATTAGCTCCCGTAATTCTACTTACAAGGACCAGTTAACCAGATTTCCCACAATGAGCAACACCATCCTGTCCTGGAAAAGAGAAAGGAGAGTATTAGATCCCAAGTGATCAGTCTTGGACACGTGTACATACGGCAATGCTAAATAGCCCTGATAGGTTGCATATTCATGTGTACCTATGTATGTAGCTATACATATATGTGTAACAATAATAGTTGAAGAGATCATGAATTTGGGAAGGTAGAGGAAGAGTTAGGCATGATATAGATACAGTGATCATCGGCAAAGTTCTCAAAAAGGAAAATAAGACTAAAACATATACACCATGTAAAAAGTACGAGGTGTGTGTATGTTTATATATATTTCCTTTATCTTCTTTACAGACTAGAAAGTATTTAATTTATAAAAATAGGACCACTTATAAAAATCTTCCCTTTTTAAAAAGAGTAAGCAATATGATTCCCCGCTGACTGGAAGGCAGCCACCTCAGGCCATCTGGTCCTTTGGATTCTGGAGGTTTGAGTCACTGCCCCAAGCCTGGCCCTCCCACTGTCCCTCCATGTTATGGGAGATGGCCAAGGAACACAGGAACATGCACGTACCATATACAGAGGTCTGCTGCATTGCTGGATACAGTCCGTGTAGAACACCATAGCAGCCCGCCGGAAGATTCCCAGATCTGTGTTGACACAATCACACCATGAAAACACACAGAGAAAATACATATACCAGGAAATGACCTGAGACTGGGGAACAGGAGCTCCAGTATAAGTGTATGATATTGAAAACGATGTTGCTTTGGAGGGTGTACCATGTGCATGTGTTACATGGCAGAAAGGCTCCCCAGGGACATGAATGGCAAGCAGCTGTCACCCTTCTACTTCCGTCAGCTAAGCTTGTTTACAGGTCACTCTAGTGGGGTTTCCTATCAGCAGAGATGTAATAGGACCCTCAAACCTGCCTTAAAACACTTGCTCACTGGGAATGGGGAATCTCATCTTCACTGCAGTGATGAGTTATTGAGTTCTGAACCAAGAGGTACTAAGAATGTTTAGAAAGAATTATTAAGGAATGAAAGTTAAGATAGAGTGAGAAAAACAGGAAAAGTTTTTTTTAAAATGTATTTCCACATAAGTCTTGTTTGGAATGGAAGGCATTCCATGTGAGCGTTCTAGTTGCTCCCCTCAGAGTCAAAGTCAAAGGTGACTATCTTCCTGTGAGCTATTCATGTCCTGACTTCAAAGGTGAGACTGAGTGTACTCAGAGCCAGCACTGCTGAGAGTGCACCACAGCTCCTCTGGGGGCTCTTCTTCCTCTGGGGGCTAGCCTGCGGCTGAACTTAACAGAGAGCAAGGAGCCTGGCTATGCGAGACCCCAGTAGTGATGCACCCCACCCCAGCGTGGGTTGGGATGTAGACTGGCCTCCAAGCCTTTCTCCAGATCATCCTCCCATGCAGCCTGCCTGATCTAGAAGGGAAAAGGGGGCAGAGCTGGCAGACAGCCAGAGGGGTCTATGAACAGTTTAGATCCCTACAAAGGGTAGTAGAACATTACCTGTGTCAGACACATCTGAATCAGTGGGAAGCAGAGAAGAAAGAAGAGAGAGAAATGGTCTGTAAGAAGGAAGCCAATAGGTGAGCTGTCACTTGCTTTATTTTGTTTTTCTTAAAACGATGGCTTTACTTAGTATTTGTAAAAGTGACGTTCGCTCCCCACCCACACCCCATGGAGGACATGGACTCTGCCTGTCTCAGACACTCAGAAAGCTCCTTCCTAAAGAATAAACCGAGGGCCCATTCTCTTCCAGCCTATATTTATCTAGCCCTTTTCAGAAACCCATTTGCTCTCGTGAACAATCCACAAGGTCTAATTTGTCAGGTCTGAGACAAGGGACACAGTAGTAAATGGGACAAGTGGCTTAGTGGTTTTCTGTCCACTTGTAACATGCTCTGCATTGCCACCACTGCCTTTCCTACCTATGTGCTTCCTGAGGACTGCAGGAAAGGTGTGTGTGTGGGGGGGCGGGGGGAATGGGTGGGGATAGCTGAGACACTGCTAATGTGACTTCTGGCCTGGGAACCGACTTTAAACACAATTGTTGGCAAACGAAACAGCTGTTAGGTCACAGATCCTCTTGTTCTGCCCAACTACCCCCGTATCAGGGCACAGGTCACCTTCTCCTATGTCCTGTTAGGACAGTGCAGAAGCAAGACTGCTGTGGCTCTGTCATTTCCTTCTTTCTTGCATTTGCGAACCCAGCCTCGCCTGTGACACCCAGGTCCAACTTAGAACTTTGCTTTTCTCTAGTGTCTTCCTGGCTGATAATTGCTGACACATAAGCTAGACCCCATGTCGTGATTTCCCATTCCTTCTCTGCAAAACCTGTAAGCCCCCTTTGTTCTCTGGAACTGAGGGCCATCACCTTTCAGGATACAGTCTTGGCCCTCAGTGAGGACTCTGCTAATGTAGCTCTTGAGAACTGAAGGCTCTGTCTCTCCCTTCAGAGTCCCACCATGCTGCCTGTGGCCATGATGCAGAAATTATCCTACTAAAGCTGGTAGAAGGGCAATCCCCCTTAGCTACCTTTCAACAGATCTGCCATTTTTATTTCTAACAGCAAGCTTTCATTTTGCTAAATCTATAACCACCTGGGGACAGTTCCCTGGGGACAGAACTGAAAACTAAACTCCATCTTCCAGGTACCCTTCCCACTTGAAAGAAACCCCCCACCCTGCACTATTTTCAGGAGACCTCCCTGTGAGCTTGCATCACACTGAACTTTGATGTAGCAACCAAAGTTCCTTGCAGAGGGCCTTCCTCTCTGTAACAGGCTTTAGGGGCCATTTTATCCCTGCCCTTCTAGAATTAAGGATGGCAAGGGCTTCACCACTGTTACTCCCAGGTTGCCCAGAGTTCCCTTAATCACCTCTCAGCATGTATGTCTTGTGAATCATCACTTTATCAAGAAATCCTCATCAATCTTTGTAGGGAACATCTGTCTCCTGTCGTGACCCTCTCAAACGGCTGCCTGAGCCTCATATAAATTATTCCTTGTGTATAAGATGATTGTGGTACTCAGAGCCTGTAAAGCCTCCTCCCCATTTGTTTTCCTGAAGCCAGAGTTCCATTAGTGGATCCTTCCAGGGACAAAGAATGACCAAGCTGTTGCTATTTCTGTGGCATGTAAGTGGACACTGGCTCTTCTTAAGTCTCTCTGAAATCTTTTGAGACATACCACAGAGCCAGAGGTAGGAAGAACAGATATGGACTATACTGTTCTTTTGAGGGACCAAGAATTCTAAATTTAGCCTGACCCTTCTAGGCTATAATGAAAGCCTCTTTTCTTTTCTCTTCTTTTCTTTCCTTTTCTCTTTTCTTCTCTTCTCCTCTCCTCACCTTTCCTTTTCTTCCCCTTCCCTTCCTCCCTTCCTTCCCCCTCCGTCTCTCCCTCTCTTCCTCCCTCCCTCCCTCCTTTCCTTGATTCACTAGAGATTACTTTACCACTGAGTTCTCTTCCTAGCTCACCCGTTTCTCCCTCTTCCCCTTCTCTCTCCACCCGTTCTTTTCTCTAACCTTGCATCCATTCCTCTTTTATTTGTTATTTTATTTTTAGTATCCTTTAGTGTCTGATTTATAGCTTGAAATGTTCACATATTTTGTTGGTGAGTTTTTATTTACATTCTTTCCCTGGGCTCTGCCAATATTAGGGGCAGGTCTATGATTTATCTTGAAATATACAAACCAGTTTTTAAAAGTAGGACTCCCAATATGCTAAAACCATTTTAAAAATACTCTGAAGCATATTGAACCTCCTCCAGTGTATGACGGCTGACTGACGGGAGATGACAAGTTAATTTCCACATAGCACCCAGTCCACCCTGTCGGAAGTAGTACAGTAAGGGAAGCTGGTCTTGAAAGTTTCTGTCCTCATATCTAGAAATAGTGCGTGATTCATGCCTGGCAACCATTTAGCATTGGAGAAATGCTCCTTTTTGAATGGTGCAGATGGAGAAAAGTTCTGTGTAGGGCCTGTGGAATACTGAGCACACTGCTCTCCTCGGGACCCTTCCCTTTTCTTCTTAACACAGGATGTCTCTATGTGGTCTTGACTCTCTTGGAACTTGTTGTGTAGACCAGACCATTCTCATAAAGCTCTGCCTGACTCTGCCTGCCGAGTGTGGGGATCAAAGTCACATGCCACTATGCTTGAGTTAATGCCCTTTGAACTTTTGGTGGCTTGCAGAGTGTTTGCAACCAGCAGGTAGAGGTGTGCCCCAGCTCTGAGATGTGGGAAGATACATCTCTCAGCTGAAAACAGAAATAGTGGCTAACAGATCCCATGAGGAGGACCTTCTTAGAGACACGCAAACACAGCAGGGAGTTCAGAGCCCATGTTCATGATGATCAGTACCACCTTCACTGAGGATGAGTGACAGCCCTGGGCTTGCTTCCCCAGGGAAGTCAGTGTGTGTGTTCACTCACCTATCTTGAAACGGCCCATATAGTAGATTTGGGTGCTGAGTGCCAGAGAGGCGAGAATGTGGATGGCAGAGAAGAGGATCCAGAACCACACATCATTTTTTCCAAACACCTAGAATAAAGATGGGGTTAGTGTGATCTGGGATTCCCCCCAGAGAACTCTGTAGAATCATTATAGAGACTCTTATTGAGACTGATCATAGAAAACAAACCAAAACAAAGCAAAAACAAAATTAGCCATTACTAAAGGACATGTTGACAAATCATCTTCTAAATATTTATACGTATACCCACAAGTAAGTCCTGTTCTCAACCATGGCCAGAAATACTTCTTTTTCTGCATCAGGCTGCAGCAGATAAAGAGACTCATAACTGGTCCAAAATGCTGAGAACTGTGTGGCTTCAGTCTAAAGGGGACATTATATCAAACCACCCCTAAGGCTCACGGAACAAGACGGAAGTGGGGGAAGGCAAAGATATAAGAGCTGGTGGACAGCAAGGCACGCTGGGAATTCCTGTCTTCAGGACGTGACATGGCTGTTGTACTCATGAACTCACTGAAGCTGTGGCGACCTGTTCAAGGTCAAACCAGCCCAGCCTTCCAGTGAAAATGGAGAGGGGCTCATGGGCCTTACCCCTAGCTGAGGAGCTACTGGCACTTGATAGCCATTTTGGGGGGTGGTGTGTCGCTATTGGTGGATTGTTCATGCTCGGGTGGATGCCTTACACCCATTCTCAGGCCTGCAGCCCCCTCCCCCAAGGGGACACTTATCAGGGCTGAACTGAAGGCAGATGGAGAGGGACCCACCACTCCGAGGACCGTGAGTGTGATGACCACAGCGAAGGAGGCGTAGGCAGAGTAGGCGCTGGCATTGATGTCCGGGTGGCGGGTCTGATAGAGCTTCAGCATGCAGAGGCCAGCGATCATGTACATGAAGGAAGTGTCTGGGGAACAAGTCAAGAAGCTCAGTGGGTACCTGGCAACGACACTCCAGGCTTTCCTTTAACTTCCACCTACCCCGTGGCTTAGTGGAATATTTGCTAATGTATAGAAGTCTCTAACATAGCAGCCCTACTAGGAGCATCCTCTAGGACAGTAGTTCTCAACCTATGAGTCACAACTCTCAAGGACCGTCAGAAAACACAGATATTTACATTATAATTCATAACAGCAGCAAAATTACAGCTATGAAGATCAACAGGAATAATTTTATGGTTGGGGTCACCATGCTAAGAGAAACTGCATTAAAGGGTGGCAGCATTAAGAAGCTTGGGAACCACTGCTCTAGGAAGATCCTGTATCTTCTATTTCTGACCCGTCCCCATCCACCAGTGTATTTTGGTTCGCGGAAGGAAAACATCGAATGGGGTAAGTAAATAGCTACCTCACTTGTAAAGGGTATGTACATTCTAAACTTTATATTTGACAACGGGGACAAAAAAAAAACCTCCTTTAATGATGATAGTTCAGGCAGAGAGACAATAAGATGAGTGTCAGTGGAAGCTGTTCTCAGTACTCTGAGATGCAGCCAGATTCACTGCTGTATCTCTATTCAGAGCATAATAGCCTACTGATGGAAAATAGCTACCCATTATATACAGCCAAGCTGTTCTACCGTTCCAGAGAGAGGAAGTAAAACAATAGTGTGTGATGCTCGTACTACTCAAAACGTCAGCAAAACATTTTAATGTCTGATTGTACCGTTGATGTGGGAAATAAAGGCTCTCCCCAGGGTAGGAACACTCTGGGGAGAAACTTGTTAAACAGAAAACAGAAGGTGGACAAGCCAGTAGGTTAAGCCTGACCTACTGAGGTGTGTGATGGTGGTGCATACTTTCAAACCCAGCACTTGGGAGGCAGAGGTCAGCAAATCTCTGTGAGTTCAAGGCCAACCCAGTCTAGAGACTGAGACTCAGGACAGCCAGAGCTGTATAGTGAAACCCTGCCCTGAAAAACCAAACCAAACCGATCAAAAGAAATCATTATCTTTGAATGTGGGTGGCAGTGTACAGGTCTTGTTTTCCTCATTTTTATCTTATTGCTGTGCCTCTTAGATGGGTCTCACTATTTGTAGTCTAGACTAGAGATCCTCTTGGCTCAGCTTCCCGGGAGTGTTGTTTACAGGCAGACTCCACCACTCTTGTTCTTCATTCTTATGCTACATTTTAACGCTAAATTTATATCTACCATCTTTTCAATTTATAACTTTCCTTCCAGCCTCTTGGCTTCAGGAAAGCTCTTGAAAGGGATAGGTCTGATTGGTCCAAAGTTAATCCATTTTCATTGCTGATAGATGTAGCATCCTAGATCTGAGATAACAGGCACCTAGGGAATGGTTCAGGAATGTACTTATTACTGTTTGGGCTACTGAGATATGAGGGGACATTATCCTGAGGCTTCTTCTGAAGATTTTTTCTTGCTGTAAGTTCCTCCAGGCCATCTTGAACCTGCTCTGAACCTGGAGAAGGAGACCTAAGACCTAAGGAGAAACTAAGCTCTATTATGGATACCTTTACTAGCATGAGAGAAATTACCTTCAGGAGAAAACCAACACATAGGCTAGGGACATGGAAAAGGTCACCCGGAGATGTAGAGTCAGCTGGGGTAAGCCAGCTGCAAAGGCATTTCTCCCCCTGCCTTCCAGACAGCAAGCTGTCAGACAGTGTGATGGTTTTATCATTTAGTCCACTCTTAATTGACTTTACCATGACTTTCACCCCAGTGCAGGCTTACTGCTTAAGTAAATAAGTTACATGGAGAGAAGTCTGAAGGGTAATGCTTCTTAGCTTAGCCCCTGACTCTGCGTCTCACCATGACATCAGCATGCAGTGCAGAGTGTTTTCCAGACTCAATGCTGGTCAAAGAGAACAAATGTATAACATGCAGAAACCTTGCTCAGTGACAAGATACACTCAGGTCGTGTCAGCTCAACCCAAATGCCTTTACATTCTTGCAAGTATGAATTTTTGATGTTTTTGAAGGGTTCCAGGATAAGACACCAGTAACTCAAATCTATGTCACCAATATAGGTTCTAATTACCGAACTGGAAGTTGGAATAATTAGGACAGACATGGTAACAAGCACTGAGCACGCCTTCCATCATCAGTGCGATCCCCATAGCGTAGAAGAGGCCAAAGTGTTTGGGAATACCATACTCCTGAAAGAAAGGGAGAAAGGATTGTTAATAAAAAGACACTAGTCAGAGACACATCCAGAGTCATGAAGCCTAAATGGTGGCCTCAAGTGGCTCTACGCACAGTTCACCATCTCATCATCAAGTCAGACATCCCTCCCCTTTGTGGTCTACGTGGAAGCAGTCCTTCCCACTCATGCCTTTGATCTGTCCCACTCTCTCCTCACCATAGCAAAGATGTCTTTAGCCTCCAGGGCTCTCCGGTGGAGCAGGTCCCTGCGCAGCACTATCAGCAGGAAGAGGAAGCCCAGGAGTACGTGGCCCAGGTTACTGAGAATATTATTGAAGGCGCTATAGGGATGAGTGAGAAATGAGTGTGAAAGCCATCATGGGGACTCAGAATGAATCCAAAAGTGGGCGGAAAAACTCAATATTTCGGTCTTTCTATACTAACACTAGGACTTCAGCATTGGGCAGCCTCTAGAAATCCTCTTTGATTTAACTCCTTGATTTGAAGATGTTCACTTGACTTAATGTAACATCTGTCTTCTCTGGGATTTCTGCTTAGCATCCCTAACACCTGCTTGATCATCTCTTGTCCTCATGGTCCTGGCTCTGAGAAAGAGCTGGTCCAGAGATGAATGAGCATCTTAGCTCTACCTGTGACTCTCATAGACGGACTCACAGTGTGTCAATATTCAGCTCTCCAACTGTGGATTTCAGTATAAGCACATATATACCACAGACCATGGCTTCCTTTTCAGGAAATCAAGCTGGTTCTGCTCTGTAGAAAGAAGATATGTTCCTATCTCTCAGGAAGATACTTTCTTTCACCCAGTTCTGGTGGCTTTAGGACAGTCAGGCTTTCGGACAACCTCTGACATCACTAAGAACTAAGGTACCAGAATTCAGCAAATCCATACCTATCTAAGCCTTATCTAAAAACTGTGGCACTAATAATACCTACCTTGTGAGGTCATTTAACATACTAAATGAGAGCTGGCCACCAACTCTATTCATGGGCATGTGCCACCTATAGCTAGTGATCTGGCTTTTAAAAACCTCACTGCCCAATCCTCAACAGGTCATTCTTAGAAATATTACCTGGGAGGAGAGCAGATCCTGTCTCAACATCTGGCTTCAATTCCTCTTTGCCCTGACCAGGGTAGTTTTCCACAGTTGTTATTGTTGTTGTTGTTGTTGTTGTGTGTGTTCAAACTTAAATCAAATTAGAAAGAATCTCTAATGTTTCACAAGGAGCCAGAGGGCTGAGTTTACCTCAGGACGCCCAAGGGGTGAGCACAGAGGAAGTTGTAGTAACAGATATCCTGGTTGCCAGTGACATTTACCACCTATAAAGTCAAGTGAAAGAAGAAAAGTGACTTCTCTCTATCCTATGAGTCTGCCCAAAGTCACAAAGAATAGGAAGGGCTCACAGGGATTTCCTGCCAGTAGCTAAAGTGTAACCCACCTCCTCTTCAGGAGGTAGGGCACGACCTGCCACCATTACACAGCAAACACACACTCCCTATTCTGGCGGCATTTGTGCTTTAGATAAAAGTATGCTGTCTATTGGGTAGCCTCAAGATGGAATTCAACAACATATGGGTCTTTTGTTGTTTTGATAAAAGGCCTATGAAAGGATGCTAACATTGGAACCTGCCTTTTGGCTGTCTTGCTATGTGTCTGTCTTGCTATATCCTGTTCCCTAGATTAACACTGGGAGGAAATGGAGATGCCCCGTTCCCTGAGTGCCCCACCAAGCAGTCAGTGAGGAAATATCTAGGTTTCCTTATCTATCCCCTGCCCCTTCAAGAACCTGCCTAAATCATAACAAACTGCAGCTTCTGATGGGGTTCATGTATGTTAAGAATGGTTAGATTAGAAACAGTGGCATTCAAACCTCATGGAGACTTCGTCTTTATTCTGTGATGGGTATGAATGGACTAAGTATTTTACATCACAAGCTTGGCTATACAGAGAAATCAGAGAGGATTTAAACAATACTGGTGCATGTCTCTCCTTCCGGAGGCCTTGATCTACTTGGTGTGGGGTACCACCCAGGACCCTGAGAGTTTTAAAAGTGCCCCAAGTGATTTTAATGCCTAGCAAAAATTAAGGGACAGTGAAAAAAAATGTGCTTATCCACATGTCATTCTAAACTGGCCTTCTCAACTCTCATAATTTCTAGAAAATTTCTACTTAGAAATCTGGACCTCGATTAAATTCCTACTTCAGTGACTGGGATCCAGGGTTTCTATAAAGGGGCAGTGGACATTCTCAAGGCATTTTAGTATGAATTCATTTATCACTCTTTATTTTTTGTTGTTGTTGACTTAATATTTTGTTAGTTCCACAAAACTGTTTTTAAATGTCTGAAAAAGATGTATGTGTATGAGTGTTTCATTTGTATGTATGTTTGTGTCCCACATATGTGCCTGATGCCCATGGAGGTACAAAGAGGGTGCTGGATTCCCCTGGAACTCGAGTTACAGACAGTTGTGAGTGGCCATGCAGGCATTGGGAACCCAAGTCCTCTGCAAGAGCAACACATGCTTTTTTTTTTCTTTTGGTTTTTTTCGAAACAGGGTTTCTCTGTATAGTCCTGGCTGTCCTGGAACTTACTCTGTAGACCAGGCTGGCCTCGAACTCAGAAATCTGCCTGCCTCTGCCTGGGATTAAAGGCGTGCGCCACCACCGCCCGGCAGCAACACACACTTTTAACTGCAGAACCATCACTCCAGCCCCTTGGGAAGATGTTTACAATTTTACAGAGTATCCCCAGTGAGGAGGTACAGGCTAAATTAGACTTCAAGCTTCTTTTGTTCAGTCTGGAGATTTTATTTTGTGTTACTTTTTGAGACGGTTTCATGTTGCCTAGACAGGCCTTGAACTCTCTATATGAGAAAACCTTGAACTTCTGATCCTCTGGCCTCCATTTTCCTATTGCTGGAATTATGGAAATGTTGAACCCGCTTATGAGGCGCTGCAGTAGAACACAGCTTCATGCATTTTAGGCAAACACTGAGCTACAGCCTTAGACCGTTAGCCTAGACCTTTATTTACTCTGTTCATTGTCTTCGGATGTCCACATACTCAGAATGATAAATAATGGTGCCATCGACAGACATTATGGCTGAATGATTGATTTTATATAGGTAAACAATATAAGGTACCAGGTCCCTTTGTGGTAAAACAATTGGGAAATAAATGGAAACAATCCTAGGGATGAAGTAGTTAATGGAGAAGCCTAATTAGTGCCAAAATGGGAAGTTATTAAACAAAAAAAGTTCTTGGAGGCTGGTGACACATACGTTTAATCTCCGCTCTTGGGAGTCAGAGGCAAAGTCTGGTTTACATATCCAGTTCCAGGAGAACCAGTAACAAAACAGAGAGATCCTGTCTAAAAGAACCATCAACCAAAACTCTAGTTCTTGGGACTGAAGGGATGGATCGGTGGTTAAGAGCATACACTGCTCTTCCACACACATACGCTCACGCACACGAGCTGATCCCAAGCTAAACTCTTCCCTGTAATCCAGAGCGGCAGCTTTCCTTCGATGGAAGCTGGACATCCGGGCAGGGCAGCACTTACCGTCTGGTAGGTGATGACAAGCTGCATCACAGGCAGTGCATAAAACACAGCGATGGTGATGATGTTCCTATGACAGAAGGAACCACAAACAGTGACTTCCAACATAATGGTGGACTCTGATCAGCTTTTAAGAAAAGAATATTTCCACCTTACATCTCCACAGTTAGCTTGCAAAAGCAACTAGGAACTGATAGAGTAGCACCTGTTTCTCTAGTCTGGCTCTCCTTCCTGTGCCTTTGCACATTTGGCAGACAGAATTTTGAACAGAGGCGACAGAAGGAAGTGGAACAAACTCACCTTGGTTACGGCTATTGGTCTGGTTATAGCAAAGAATCCTTGCACTGATAACTGAAATCATTAAGTCATTCATTTATCTAATTTATTGGAGACAGAGTCTTGCTAGGTAGCCCTGACTGGCCTAGAACTTGCTATGTGGACAAAGCTGGTCTTGAACCTATGATGATTTCAAGAGCTGTGGTTACAGACAATGCCACCGTGCCTGAGCTGAAATAATGTATTTAAAATTCACCAATTGGCACTTAATGAGTTGAAGTCCTCCTCCTCCTCCTCCTTCTTTGTACAATCATTTGTAAAGCAGTCTAAACCCAACTTCATATATAACCATCTTATCCCCTTAGTGCACTGTTAGGTTAAATGTGCGTAGAGAGTGAGTAACAAGTGACAGATACCTTGTAGAGGCTCTTCAATAAAACTTAATTCCAAAATGACAGTTCAGCTGTGAAATTCCATTGTCTCCCTTGTTCCTGGCTTCATTCTAATGTCTGCATCCAGAAGTAGGGGGAGTCCTCAGAAAGTAAAAATGGAGGGGCATCTCACAAGAGGACCACAGTCGGCTGGAGCTTTCTGAGCAGAGGAAGGCTCCTTGCTACGCAGCTCGGCCCCTTGACTGGGTGGAAGGACATGCCCACAGATACGGGCATATTTCAGGTCTTTTGTGTTTCAAGTTGGAGGTATCGTCATCCATATCTATGGCTTATTAAACACCAACTCCTTATGATACAAGTGGTTTTAGCTTTTACAAAGAAAAAAGATGAAGTTTAAAGAGTTTAGGGGCTGAGAGTGTAACTCGGTGATAAGGACTTGCCTCCCTTATCCTGTGCATAGTCCTGGGTTTGATCTCCACCACTGCAGTACACATGTACATACAAATACATAGATTTAAATAAGTCAATATTTTTAAGGAAACCATGACTTTGCTGGTCACCTACTTACCAAAAATAAATCTTATACTTTTTGCTGACAATCCTCCGGTCTTTCCTGGACAGATCTGACAGGTACAAGAACATCTAGGGCATCAATGGGAAGAGAATGCAAATCTGAGCTTGGCTTTTCTTGTATAGGACACAAAGGAGAACTTTAGAAAGTTCATTAATTTACTCCTCACTGGGGATTGAAATGATCCATCAAGCTGTTTTCTTTAATTTTGTTTTTCTCGGGACTCCATAATAAAAGCACTACCATTCTCCTCGGCTGATGTGAGAACCCTATCAAGTACCGAATGCTCCACACATTGCAAACATTGACTTCTCAGCTCTCAGACCTGCTCACTTCGTAGTTCCTGAGTTGCATACGGTTGAAACTGTGTGATATACTCGGATCTTTTGGTAGGTAAAATACACTATATTAAGCTTGTTACAGAAAGAAATGGGCTTTGCTCTCAGTGAATGGCATGTATAGAAATGGGGAAGTTTTCCAGGACAGCCCTGAGGTGAATCTCATCTTCCATCTGGGTCCCTATATACTTTTCTGTTCACAGATACTTGGGGTGCTGAGAACATGAAATGCTCTGTCTTTTTTTTAATCCCCCAACCCCAAAGAAAGGTTCTGATAAAGAGATTATCGTCTTGGGCTCTAGCTATGTTTCATCTAAACCCTCCAGAAGACTTGGCTTCCCTTCAAGAAAAAAAATAAGGAGGTGGAAGCACTGGTGAGGTTTATTTTACTATCAAACTTCCTTCTGTTCCATCAGTGACAGTCAGGGCATATTGGTACCTTGGTCCGGATGACGTTTTTGTCACTTTCGATGTCTGGCATGGTGTCGAAGTCACTCTCCTCCACGGAGCTGTCTGTGTCTGAATGGCATGGCTGGCCGCCATCAGAAGAAGACATCTGCCTTCCAGGACTGGAACTCGACTCGTCTGAAACAGAAAACTCCTCTGCCTTTAACAGCCAAGAATGGTCCATAGAGCCCATTCCTCTGCAGAAAGTGCAGTGCTTGCTCATTCTAGAAAACACCATGTTCGTCCAAATTAACTCTTTACCAACAAGACATGCACCTGGGCTGCACCTCCTCAAGTGAACGACAATTTTTCTTTTCTTCCATTTTATATTGAATTTGTCTGTTTCTAGGGCTGACTGTAAAGACTACAATAGAATCTTCTCTGTAGATATCTGGATGCAGAAATAACATTGTTCTTGTATTTCATGTTTCAAATTTTAAAATACAAACACAACGTATAGCTACACACATGCAGAGGTATTCATAGCTTTGATTACACATGTGGGTAAACACATACCTATCCAACTGCTGTACATTTCACATGGAATAATTATCCAGAGAAATCTCCCACATGACATTTCTATCATTATATAATAAAAACAGTATTCTCGGAAAGGATTCTTCTGTTCCCATGAATGTTCTAGAGCAGATGGGATTTGTGCAGCTTGAGCACATGAACTGAGACTACCTTCTGATTTATTTCTTCTGTTCAGATTTTTTAAAAAAATCTGTTCTTACAGAACTAAAAATAAGTAGCCTACACTGAGCCCAGATGCTCCAAGTTACAGAATAACAGAGCAAAGTTACAGTCCCTCCCTGCGGACTGTTTACTGTGCACCGTTCACGAGCCAACAGTCACCATGGCAGGGCTCCGTGCACTCCTCCTGTACAGGAATGGGGGAACTCGGTTTCCTTTCAGGCTGCTTAATGGCATCTAGGTTTGCCCCGTAAATAATTTAGTGGCCTTGACCAGGGTCATTGTGACCTTGGCTGGGGTGAAGGACTGTTCGGCTACACCATGCTTACTTGCTGCACTGCCTTAGTCTTCTCACACCCTGAATCTTCTCACTCCACAGACACCCAAGGAGGTGGCTGTTCAATTGACAGTGCTGGCTGCACCAAGTCTTTCAAGCCATAAATTCAGCTCCGGGGGTGGGGGGAGCTGGCAAGATAGCAAAGAGGGTAGAGAGCCTTTGTGTGCAGACCTGATGACCTGAGTTTGATCCTCAAATCCCACAGAGCAGCAGGAGAGAACTTGCTTAGAGAAATTGTCCCCTGACCTCAGCACATGTGCACTGTACACACATATGGTATACACAATAACAAACAAATAAGAGAAAGAGAGAGAGAGAGAGAGAGAGAGAGAGAGAGAGAGAGAGAGAGAAGGCAGACAGACAGAAAGACAGGCAGGCAGACAGACAGACAGACAGACAGAAAGACAGGCAGGCAGGCAGACAGACAGACAGACAGCGAGATGGCTCAGTGAGTAAAAGGTGCTTGCTGCCTGCTGATATAAGTTCAGTCTCTGGGACCATTCAGTGGAAGGAGAGAACTCCTTCAAGTTGTCTTCTGGCCACCAATATTCACATGCTCCCCCACCCAATGAATAAAATAAAAATACGATAAAAAAAGTTTCAAGTCCCAAACTGGAAGTTGATGGCAACCACTGAAGTGAGTTCAGCCCGAGGGGAGCTAGCAGGTCCAAGACACAGAACAATGGAAGCATAGAGAACGCTGGAAGGAACGTTCCAGATTATCCAATCAGTTCGTCTCTTCCGGCACAGAGCGGCCTCTCTGCAGAATAACGAAAGAGTCCTACCAAAGGACTCACTGTGGGAAGTACCTATTGCCCCATAGTTGCTCCCTTCAGGCGTACTGGCAGAGATGGGATGAGAGACAGCCATATTTCCAGAGCCTGCAGGGAAAACAAACAACGAGAAAGAGGGAAGGAAGCTTTACCCTCAGCTGTTAAAGTCAAACGACTTGACCTGAAGTAGCTGAGTCGCTAAGCAGCAATCTTTAAATGTGACTTTCTTTCCACTTTTATACAGGTATTGTCACTGTGGGTGACAGGGCCAAATCTAGCCTGTCACCTCTTTCTGTATCATAGTGTGTGGCCTCATTTCTTTCCTTTTCAGTCTCTCTCTCTGCCTCCCTCTCTTCTTTCCTCCATCCCTCCCTCTTTCTTTCCTTCCCTCCCTCTCTCCCTCCCTCCCTCTCTCTCTCTCTTGTTCCTGTATGATTTGGGGAACTGAATCCAGGGCCTTTCATATTGCATGCAATTTCTCTGCAATTCAGCCACATCCCCAGGCAACTCATGTCACATGATGTGGCAGGAAAGTATTTTTCAGTGAACACACCTAATATTTGGAAACATTTTTGTTCTCAATATATTTCAGAATTTTTGCTGAAAATGTAATTCATTGTTATGTAAAAGCTAAATGTATCACAGAGGCAAATGCTCTGAACACTCCCTAGTCACAGCAAACTTCTTTGATCCCAGTCTTGGGCTTTGTCCCACTGAGGGACCCTCAGAAAGTCATAGTTTTGAACTCCCCAGGCTCCAGTCTGTGTTTTTATTTTCCAAACCCATTGTGTCCCCATTGATTTCCCCACAGGAGACAGTAACTATGTGCCAAGTTCAAACGTTTCAGACGGGAGACAGACTTAAGCTGAAGTGACTTTCTCCCGTTGGTGAATCCATTCAGAGCTGTCTCAGCTGCCCAGTAAGACTTAGAGTTAATGCCGTGGTCTTGGCAAGCAGGCAAGGCTGTTCCTAGGGCCCGAAGGATGGGGACTTTGATCTTCAGAAAGCATACTCCCTGGTGTTGTTACTGGGTTTGATATATTTATTATTTAAAGAGCTCGGCTCTCTGAACTTCCTTGGACTAACCTTTAAGTACACAACATGACGTCGACATTGAGCATGCTTTACACCCAAGTTCAAAGCAGACAAATTGATTTAGACACATTGTGTGGGGGTGTGGGGGGTGCATACATGTATTTTGGGGACCTGACCCAAGGCCTTGCATGAGATAGGGAAACACTATCACTGAACTGTGTTCTCAGCTTTAGACTCTTAAATATTAAGAACCAAATCTGGAGCACAGAGGATGTTGTGTGAAGATGCTTGGCTGTCTCCTTGTGACTTGGGACAATTTTGGCTTCATTATAACATAGGCTTTGGCTGATGCTCTTGTTCCTGCTGACCAAAAGCACCGCAATGAGCAGAGCCACCACCGCTCCTGATGCTGTGATTGCTGTGACCGATGCTGCCAGTCCCTCAGACCAAAGAGAATGAATTGTGTCAGACACTCTTGTCTTTTCGGCTGCCCTGAGAGGTACAAGCTATTATTGTCATCATCTTAAAGATGATAAAATAGAAGTGCTGAGAGATCTAGAAGCTTCCCCAGCCAGCCAGACAATGGAAAGAGCGACCCATCGTACTGTTGTCTGCTAAAACTTACCTTCTTTTTGCAAAATTTACTTTTATTGTATATATTTAAAATGCATCACATGCACACATACATAAAAACATGCAGCAAACTAATGACCTCATGCAAGCAAAGTGTCCAGCTTCCCAGTGAGTGGACAGCACATATGTCAAATCTCATGGGATTTCTTGTCCTTTGAGAACCTGCTGTTTTAGCATTTGCTCTGAGCCCAGCCCTCAGAGTGTTTCCTGTTACTTTGAGCATCATGGAATTCCTGTTCCTCATAGACTCTTGGTCTTGCTGATAGGAAAAACGTTTCTACAGCCTCCTTTTCCTCTGAAGGCTCCTCCTGTGAGTGTCTCAGGGTAGCACACTCCTCTCTGGCTCGCTCTTCTGGCTGATCTCACTGGGCTCAGTTTCATAATCCTGAAGGTCACAGGTGGTTCTGTGACCTGGCAGGCTGAGCTGGCCACTCTCTTGTTTTGGTTGGTTAGGTCTTGGCTCACTCTTGGTCATAGGACATCAGAGGTGGTGCCATCTTGGCCTGTAGCTTCTCGTCCACAAGGTTCCTTATCTCCGCCCTATTTCAAAGCTGTTTGTGGCAAGCACACCTGCTTTCTACTTCCTGAACTGAAGAAAACATCTGTTTTCTTTATGTATCCTCAACCTGTTCATGCAGCTGGTGCATGGAAATTTTCCAACTTTACCCTAAGAAGGTCTCTGGCCATGTCTGGCCAAGACACTTTTAGTTGTTGCAAGGAAACTTTAATCCAACACAATATGGTGAATCCTGAATAACTAAGAATTATGACTCTTGTAATGTCAATAATGTTGATGTTGGAAAAAATATGGTCTTAGAGAAGACATAGCATTAATTCTAAAAGTACATTTACTTAACCTGCTTTTCCTTTTAAGACAGAGTCTCATGCATCCCAGGCTGTTCTTGAACTCACTATATAGTCCTGAGGATGATCTAGAAGACCTCTGACCCTCCTGCCTCTACCTCCTAAGTGCTAGGATTACAAGCATGCGCCAATTCAACTGGTTCATATGGTGCTGAGGATTTAACCTGGGGCTTGGAGCAAGCTAGTACGGTGCTCTGAGCAACACCCACAGCCACGAAATTACCTCTATATAGTGACATATGATACAGTCTACAAGAGAACATGAGAAGAAATTTGGGGTGGGGGCTTTCCTCTGACATTGCCCCATGAGGATGTGAGCCTTGATCCATCTCCCCAGTATTCCTTAGAGTAAAATAGAGAGTGCCAGGTCCAGCAGAGATGCAGACTAGTACATTGTATGCCATCTACTCTGAAGGCTACCCTCTTCAATTTGCAGATGTAGGAGCTTCTGGTCTGGAAGTGGGCCCAAGGCATATCCTGCAGCGATTGCTACTGCTCTGTGGATCCACACGAAAACAATGAGTACACCTCCAGTCCTTACGATCACTCAGTTTTGTCTGTCATCCAAAGGCACCTCTAGCTCTTTGCTATTTTTCAGTGTACCTGACTTTCAGCAATGATCTGCTGCGAGCCTGATGGACGCTTTGAAGTTTAAGGGCCCCTTCTGAACATGGAATTCCTTTAGTGATTATAAAACACAAAATTATCTCATTTATACATTGAGAGGGCACTTAATGAAATCTAACTTACTGGATTTGGGCCCAAGTACTAAAGGGCTATCTATCTATCTATCTATCTATCTATCTATCTATCTATCTTTTATTTATTTATTTATTTATTTATTTATTTATTTGCAAAACCTGGGACATGTGGTAGAAAAGATGCACTCCAGGCAAAAGAACTGAAGCATTTTATAAACAGTGAGAGCAGTGGTTTCTGTTGTTGTCTTTTTTCAGGCTTTTATATTGGCAAATGAATGTTTATTAAAACAAAGTGTTTAGGGGTGGGGGAGTTGGAAAAACTGTCTTTTAAGGAAGACAAATGTAAACACCATCAAGTCTTCCAGCAAAGGGACACAATCCTGCTGGGTGAAGGCTGAGTTGGTATCACTCCAGGACTCTGTGGACTCAAGTATGAAAAGCACAGAACTAACCACTGGCTACACCCGACTTCAACTGAAGTCCATCTCCTCTGCGTTTTCAATTCTCACTCCTTCCCAAACAGCGAAGGAGCTCATGGTAACCTGGGCTTTGTCAAAATGAGCACATTTGAAGCTTTAAGTTTTAATAAAAATATCAGACAATTGAAATCCTTGGTGAACTCTCAGAGAGGAGGAACAGGTTAGATATCTAATTACTCTGGATTCTTCAATTACTACATTTTTTTTATCGTGCTTGCTAGTCTCAAATATTTTGACTTTCCATGTGCTTAAACAAACAAACAACAAACACACAAAGCAAGCTTTTTATCTCAATTTAGGAAAAGTGCACTGCATAAAAGTTAACATAACACATTCTCACTGCTATTCGCAAGCTTTGGAATACAAAAATCTCTCTCCCCAGATACAAACAGAAACTGTGAGCAGTTCCATCCCAGGGCTGAGACAACTTCTGAAAAGATGAACGGTTGCAAGTGCTCTATGAATAATTAAAGGCATTCTTGGTACAGAGTCTCCATGTGGGATCCATATCTCAATAATTACCAACTAACTATAAATTGTTTCTTGCTAGTTCTGTCTTCTGTAAAAGGTTTGTGGATGAGAGGGCTCTGGGATAAGAATCAAGGGGGTAAAAAGAAGAGAGACAAAAGGTACCAAAAAGGATGTGGCTCCGCTATGCAACACCATTAGGGATTGGGAATTAATCAAGGAATCTCTTACCATCACTGGAGCCAAAGCTTCCGTCAATGGATTTCCTCTGAAACCTGCAAGCAAGCATGCACACAAATACATATGTATAACACACACGTACACATCCTATTAGGAGTCAGCCTATGTATTATCTTCCTTTATACTCTGTTGAAAATTTGTCTTCTAAGATTTTTTAAAAATGGCTCTTTGGAGAAATTACTGGTAGGAATTTCAAACGGCATAGCCACTTTGGAAGACAATTTGGCGATTCTCCAGAAAGCCAAACACAGACTGACCATATGATCCAGTAATTCCGTTCTCAGCCACGTACATTATTTAGTAATGCTCATTCATTTTCAGATATAAACTTACATCATAATAAGTATCTTTTATAGCACACAATTCAGTGTGTTTTAATATATCCAAAGTCTTATGCATCTGTCCCTAGGATCTAATTTTAGAACAATTTCATGGCCCCCTCTGAAGAAGCTGTCTATCTGTAGCAATTACTCTTTTTTCTCTCCTTTCCCCTGCCCCTTGGGAACCACCAATCTAACATCTGTCTTATGAATATACCTCTTCTAGATAGTTCACATAAATGAAATTATGGGACATAGGATCTTTCTTGATTGGCTTCCTTGATATAGAATTCTATTTTCAATGCTATATTGTAACATGTATTAGTCTATCGATATTTTTATGGTTGAATAAGATTCCAGTGTACATGTACAACATTTATTTGTTTTACTTTGATGGGTACTTTTTTATTGTTCCTCTTTGATGTGTATTAATCACTGCTGTGACCATTTGTGCTCTCGTTTTTCTGTAGAGCTATCTTCGTGTCTCTTGGGAATATAACTAGATATGAGCCACTAGGCATGAGGCCACTCTATGTTTGCTCTTCCAAACTGCTTCCACAAAGGCTGTAGAGCAAGCACTGTTTCACGTTCCCACAGCCAAGACTGAGGATTTCTATTTTTCTACAGCTCTTCCAATTCTCATCTTATACTTATTTTTTTTATTATGTCCAGTCTTTAGAGTTTGGCAACTCATTGCAGCTTTGATTTGCATTTTTCTAAGGGTGAACTATAGGAGGAGCTAAGGTAGGAGGAGTTAGGAGAGGAAAAGGAAGAGGAGGAGTTAGAGAGGAGAGATGTAGGAGCAATGGAGAGCCATGCAGGTATGGAGAGCAGTCGTGGGTAATAACTTTTATTTAGGTTCGCTAACTGGGAAACAACTCTCTTTATATGGGCATATTGTTATTGAGCTTCACCAAACATATAAAGTCTTTGATTAATCTTTAAGCATTAGAGTCTCATTTTTTCTACTGGGCATGCATGGATGGCAGGATGGTCTGGGCAACGCCTAGCCTTGCAGAGACAGCATGGAAGATTGGCAGAGCCATCTCCCATGCTGAGGTCTCATGGGTGGCAGGGCTGGTGTTTCTGGCAGGGCCATTTCTAGCTGCAGCACGCACACAAGGCCGAGAAACATGGCGGCTGAGCTAGGCAGAGCCATCGCAGCTTAGATAGTTGGCTTGACCAGAGGCTGTTTTTAAATAATTGCTTCAACAGTTAACAATGAACATCTGGTCATGTGCTTATTGGGCATCCATATATCTTACCTGGAGAAGTGTCTATTTTAAGCCCTTTACCCATTCTTATGAAATTAAAAAAAATTGGTTTATGTGTATGGGTGTTTGTCTGTGTGCAAGTATGTGCACATGAGTGTACTGCCCACAAAGGCCAGAAGAGGGCATCAGAGTCACCTGAAGATGGAGTTACAGGTGGTTGTGTGCCGCCTGAAACTGGTGGAGGAAATCAAACTCAGGTCCTCTGGAAGAACTGGAATCCTTCTTTACCTTTGAGCCATCTTCCCAGCTTCCTCATTAAACACTTGTGATTATGTTAGTCCTATGATGATAATCAATGATCCGGTTCACAACCTTATTATAACTACAAACTTCTCTTGGTGACACCAAGTAATATATTCACAAATTCAGGAGGATTAAAAACTGACATTCTTTCATGGTCATTATTCTGTATGCCACACTGTCTAACAGCAAGTAGGCCAACCTATGAATATGTGACACTTTTTTTTTTTTTAAAAAAAAGAAAGTGTTCTCTAATTTCATTAGAGATGTTTTACAATTTTCAGCATATACAACCCTAACACTTAATTTTTAAACTGTGCCCCTTAGTAGTTTATTCCTTTAGATGCTTTTGTAGATGGAATTGTTTTTATTTCCGGCTGTTCATTGTTAGCATATGGAAATAAAATTGCATTTGTATTTGATCTTGTATCACGTAGTCTCAGTTTGGTGTGATGAGATTACTCTGAAATGCAAGATTTAGTGGTGATAGTCGTGCAGCTATGAATTAACACCCCTGAACCGAGTACTTTGAAGGGATCAGTTGATGGCTTATGAATTGTATCTCAAAGAAGCCATTTTTCCCTAGATGTACCATTTGGCACTGTCAATCAGATTACTGTGTGAATTCAAACTGAATTCAAATGAGGTTTTTTTTGTTGTTGTTTTGTTTTTTTTTTTTTATAAGTGAGATTGGCGGGGAGGGCAGAAAGTGCAGCAGGCCGGAAGTGCTCATGCTTTAACACATGCTTATTCACTTTCAGACGACTATTCCCCAAGTTGTAACACCCATCTTCTGTCAAAGGGCTTCTCTTCAAACATCTTTTTTTCTCTTAGACATCAAACTTATCCCTGCTCCAGGGCCTTTGCTCTTGTTCCCTGCAAAGTCACTGTTGCTACTAGATCCTGCCACTGCTGGATAGAGGTGCTTCCAAATGGCTGTCAATCAAATCAAATCCAAAGTGGGATCTTTCTAGCCATTCTCAACTTTACCATTGAGTTTGTTCCTCCCCGGCTTATGTGCCTGTGTGTTTCTCCCCTTTGTAGTTGAGGTGGTAGTAGAGTACATAGGCTCTTGTTCATCAACCTCTGGATTAGGACTGGACATGCAGGAGATGACAACTAAGTATTTATTGAGTGACAAAGCATATCACTAAGGAGAACAGTTAAGATTCAGCTTGACTGTTTCATCCAGAAGGACACCGTAGGAGAGATCTTTCTGATCAAGTTTGGTGGTAATGATGGGTAAGTAATTATCTCAGCTCCAAGAATAGAAAGCATTTGGCATGATGAGCCTTACCCATGCTTGAATTAGGTTGTGAAACCACTACAGTTTTCCATGAGAGGAGTTAAATAATTTCCACAGCTAAGGCAAGGCAGGAAGTATCACCTACTTAGCAAATGTAAAAAGTAGCAGATGAGACTTCTACTGGGTTGGATGTGCTGGGTGTACCTTGACAATCAGTTTGCAAACTGGGCTGGCCTCATGACTCACTCATCCTCCAGTAGATATGGGGGAACACCTCTGAGCCTGTAGCTTGATGCTTGGCTTTGTCTGTTTGCTCTGAGATTCCAGTCTCAGGTTGGCCTGTTGGAGTTATCAGAGACCAGGAGGCCAGCCTTAGGATTGCCAGTTTCTTGGACCTGCTAGCAGGCTACACTTGTGGCCTCATCCAGCTGAGATTTCTGAGCCCAGCTGTGATGATTCTGAAAGTCCATGAATCACATATTCTCAAGAAATGAGTTGATGGTTTGTGTTTTTCTTCTCAAAGAAGCTGTTTTTCTAAATTGTTTTGCATCATTTGGAGATATCAATCAAAACAGAACCATTATCTGGCCCATTGTCTTCTGAGACAACTGTATACTATATATGTATGTGTATCTCTCTTTGTCTCTCTCTGCCTATCTATCTATCTATCTATCTATCTATCTATCTATCTATCTATCTATCTATCTATGGTTATTTTTTAAAAATGACAACATAGCAGTGGATAAAAGAATCAACGATATATGAGTGACCAGAATTGAACAGTCAGGCCTAATGAATGGCAGGGTTGTTGAAAAGAACAAGAAAACATGATTCAGTGCTTGGCTCCAGGCCTGAACATCCATCGTGGAGGGTATTAATACATTCATGCTGAGATAGGAGGTAGAAGTGGGAAGGAAATGGCATTTTTATGACAGGAGAGCATGAAGCTCTTAGCTCCCTAAGACCTGGGGCCATGTCTGTCACCAGTGTTTATTATCATGATCTCATACTGTAGACTATAAATCCCACATATGTCAATAATAAAATATAAGGACTCATCAAGCAAATGGCGTTAAGCTCAGAGAGCTTTACTTAGTTGTATGAAAAACTTGGTTTCACTCAGTTCAGTGAAGGAGAAGTCCGCCTATTAGCATTTTCCCTTAGTCTAGTCCCCTATTTAGAATGCCAAATGGTTCTGTGTCTCTGGGTTTCTATTTCAGTGTGCCTATATTTGGAAAGAGTCTCTGTTTGGGCACTTGACTGTAGCAAAGTCATCGGCGACAAACTTTCAACAGAGTCTGAACATGGATTTCAAAAGCTCTGCTCACCCCAGCTACAGAACTAACAGCTTAGAGATGGTGTCAAGCAGCTAGACATTAGTTCACTTTTGGTCTGTTTGGGTGTTGATGGTGTCTATTAGCTGACTAAAGAGAAATCATTCTACTTTCTGAACCTAAAACATAAGAAGGAAAACCCTCGTTAAGGAGCAGAAGACTCCATTGTGACACTGAAGCTCATCTGAGGCAAAATAGGAAACTTTTTGGCTTCTGTACAATCATAGCCTTGCTCCAGTGTACACTGGTGGTCATACTTCATTAGCCCAGGATATCCTTTCTCACAGGCCTCTACCATAACAGGACCCCAGACCTTAGCACAACTGACTCTAAGAAGGAGTAAAACTCAGGCTGTAAAACTCAGCATTTAGACAGCCCCACCAGCCAAAATGAAAATACGTAACCCATCGAAGTCCATACAGTTCTGGGGAAGTCTCAAAATATACTAACCTTAGCCTTTAGCTTCTGTAGTTCCACTTCTGGTCTTATTAACTGAAGTATGTCAGCCCAGAACATTGTTTTTGTGTTTAAAAGCTCATCCTGAGAAAGGCTCAGTGCTACACTGGGATCTGGAAAACCCAATGTAATTGCTGGCTAACAAAGACTTTCTATTGGCTTGAACCCATGTCTTTTCAATCTTCTCTAGTGGACAGCCGACAACACTGCCACTCAAGACTCACTTTGATCAAGCCTGTTGAAGGCTTTAGACTCCAGAGCTGGGCTGCCTGATTTCAGATCCTAGCTCCTTTAGGTATTGGGTGTGAACCCTTGATCAAATTGCTTAACCCCTCTGTCCTTCAATTTCCTTAACTTTCTGCATAGTGACAATCACAATACCTCAATAATAGTGCCTCAGAGCATCAGACAAGAGAATCCCTTGAGGGCTCAGCACACCGTCAGGCACACAGCAAGCATACAGCTATATTTAACACATTAATAACTATAACTTGTTATAGCAAGCTGGTAGTCCTTCATGTATATACTTTTCTGACACTCCTTCATATGTATTTTTTCCAGGTATGCTATTTGCCTGTATCCTGCGCTTTTTTTTTTTTTTTACCTTCTTCTTTTTTTTTTTATTTCTTTTTTTTTTTTGAACATGAAATGCTTTTTTATAGCATGTTTTACAAGGGGAGGGGGTAAGAGGGTCCAGGTGGTGGAAAAGTACAAAATCTTCTTGGCCTGTGCCTTGAAACATGTCATGGTCTATATGGTACACTGCCTTGAATTATGATCTACCTGCTATTCTTCAGAAGATATGGTACACTGCTTGAGTTATGGTCTCCCTGCTATTCTTAAGAAGACATGGTACTCTGCTTTGAGTCTATATGCAGTTGCTAAGCAGGATCTTGCAGTTGCCAAGCTTCAGAGGACATTGTGCAGGTGGGGAAAGGTAGGGGGTAAGGGTAAGGGCGAGGGTCCTGGCTTCTGGCATCTCCCCCTTCTCTGTTTAGTTAGAGAAGGCGTCTTATGTATTCTGCGCTTTTATTTTTAACACTTATTTTTTAAATGTCAGGATCTTGTGTAGCTAAGTAAGCCTCAAACTCGCTATGTAGCCAAGGATGAATGACTTTGGACTCCCTGTCCTCCTGGATCCCACTCCTGAGTGCTGAGCACTGTGGGACCCCCATGTCAAGTTCTGTTTTTCATCCTGTAATTTAAAATAATTTTAAATTTATAGGGATGTTTCAAGGATGAATAGAAAAATAGAATGTAGAATATCTATCGATACATCCTTTACCTTGATCCACTTGTCAGCATCTCTGTCTGTCTGTCTATCTGTCTTTCTCCCCTTTCCTCCAACCCTTCTTCCCTCTCGCCATCTCCTATTTCTTCCCCTGCCCCCTCCCTCACTTTTCTCTCTCTCTCTTTCTTTCTTTCTTTCTTTCTTTCTTTCTTTCTTTCTTTCTTTCTTTCTTTCTTTCTTCCTCCCTCCCTCCCTCCCTCTCTCTCTCTCTGTCTCTGTCTCTCTCTTTCCTTCTTTCCTTCTTTTTTTCTTTCTTCTCAGAATGGATCTCAACCAGTAGCCTAGATTTCCAGGAATCCACAAGCCTCTTGTTTCTGTCACCCCAGTGACTACACTAATAAGCCTGGCTTTAGCTCTGTTCCTCAGTTCTCCTTTTCCAAATGTATAGGACATATTCATCTACATATATGTTAATGTATAGTACTTGGTCTTCTACATGTATGTTAATTTATAGCACTTGGTCATTTACATGTATGTTAATTTATAGCACTTGGTCATTTACATGTATGTTAATTTACAGCACTCTCATCTTCATGTATGCTCATTTATAGCATGTACTCATCTATATGTATGTAAACTTTCTTGTGCCATTTAAATGTCATTTGAAGTTATTATGGATTTTATCCTTCATATTTCTACAGAGTGAAAAAATCAAATTCTTCAAATTTAATGCTTGCATACACATTTACTTAATGTGTTGCTGGGGGATCTTACATGCTAGGTAAGTGCTCTGTCACTGAGCTACATCTCAGTCCACCCTTTACTTTGTTCTGAGGCAGAGTCTCTCTAAGTTGCCCAGGCTGGACTTGAATCACTCTGTATCTCAGACTGGCCTTGAACTTTCAAGCCTTTCCCTCAGGCTCCCCTTGCTCTACTGACCATTCTCAACCTAAGCGAGTGTTAGCTGTGATGTTTGCAAATGAGTTTCCTATTCCAGCACTTCCTCTGTGTTTATCAGTGAGCTCTTGGTCTGCTATGGGGGAGATATACTCATTTTATATATTTCCATTTTTCCAAATGGCCTACAATTCATATTTCTCAATTATTTTGGTGCTTCAATCTACCCAGGCTTGGATAGTGGTGGATCAGTTTTTATTTATTTATTTTTAGTTGTGCTGAGGCTCAGACCCAGGACTTACACGCACTAGGGAAGCACTGTCCACAGAGTCAATCCCCAGCCCTTGGTTTTCTGGGACAAGCTCTGCACTTTGTAGCTCAGGCTGGCCTTGAACTTTCTATGTGGTTCCTATAGACTCCAAATTTGCTAATCTCACCCCCACCCCTCCTCCTGAGTGCTGGGATTTCAGGCATACCCAGGTGGGGAGCAGGAGGGTTTGAAGCCAGTATCTCAACTCCTATAAGAGTGTAGAAGAGAATTGTTTCCTGACTGGGCCTTTGCTGTGCCAAGGAAGCAACCAAGAGCACTTCTCACAGTTGGTGTGTGGCTTACCTAACGCTCTCACAGCTCTCTGCTGTCTTTGTATATTTTTCTCATGTTTAAGATGAGAGGGGAAAACTCCATTTGTTTTCTGTCAGCCTCCTTCCTCCCATCCTTTTGTAGATGTTTCTCAGAAAGCATAACAAGATCAGAGTTCTCAAAGCTCAGCTCCACAGGGCGAAGCAGAGAGTGTTATAAAATTTTATTTATTTATTTATGTTTAAAACCCTGGGGGGGGCACTCCAAATTCTTAGGCAGGGAAATTTTCTTGCTCAGATTACAGCATGGTTGCCTCTACCTCCCCCCTGAAGAAATGTTTTACTGGGAGATTGGTGCACCTGGTAATATGTATCAAAGCACATCACTCCTGCTATGGACTATAACTCAAAATTTATTTTAGGCACTCGATTTACTTTTCAACAGAATGCTTCAGTTTGTTTCCAGACTCCATGCTGGAAAAAGCTGCTGATTCCCTTCCGTCTGCAGGACTTACAGCGAGTATTCTTAGGTATAAACACAGACAAGTTGCCTTACTGTTGTGGTTTCACAATGAAAACTCTACCAGCATGTTATGTGGAACATTGACTCCAGATCTGCAAGTGAGCCAAATAGTCTTTCGTTCCACATAAGAGAAACCTGCGGTACAAATACAGGATAAAAAGCAGTTTGCCCACGACCACACTTAATGGCTAGTCAGTGTGCTCCAAAGCCCATGCTCTGAACATCACACAGAGAGGCAAAGGGGATGAAGAACATGTGGACCTACCTCACATGATGGACAAGCACAACGAGCAGGCATCCCAAGTAGAAGGACAAGAAAACGAATATGCTGAAAAGACTAGATTTCACATACACAGATTCTGCGGAGAAAGATACAGCTTTGGTCAGCTTGTCCTTGGAAAAAGGAGGACTGTGTTAAGGACAGCACCATTTAAAGGATCTGTCTCCATCATGCCCATTCTTAAATCCTAATAAATTTTTACTAGAGCAGAGAACTGTGGGAGGCCACCAGGATGCTACCCACAAGTGGCTTAGTAGGGGCGACTGCCAACGGAAGTGGGGAAGAAAGATCACTGGATACAACTCTAGAATTGAGTCTCTTCCCTCCTCTCCTTGCTTCCATCATTCTTTTCCACAATTTCTCCTCCCCTCCCCTCTTCTTCTTTCTCTTCCCCTTTCCTTCTCTCTAGTTCTTTTCTTTATTCCCTCCACCCCCACTTTCTGTGCAGTTGGGCCTCATACACGTTAGGCAAGTACTCTAGCACCAAAACACTCCTCAGCCTTTCTTTCTCTTCAAGAAGATCTAATCCTATCTGTAAGTTAAATATACTTTAGTATTCTTATGATGGCTCCCCTTGAAAGGGAGACATCAGCATTTAATGACAGGATAGATCTCCACCTACAGGACTCTCTCTACCACACTCCAGAGCCAAGACCAACCTTTGATGGATGGGACAATGGTCACTTTCAGGTTCTTTGATCGTTGTAGATTCCAGGTCTGGTTTTCATTTTCTGGTTAAAAACAAAACAAAACAAAAACAAAACAAAACCCCAAAACAACAATATACAGATGAACAAAGCACAGAACACAATGGGTCATATATTAGACTCTCATCCTCCAATCTGAACAGTTGTATACAATATAGTATACAGCGTCTACTCTGACCAATGTACAAGAACTGGAGGGAGATCTAACATCTAACATGTCAGATGTTCCTCTGGTAGACTCTCAGATTGGCCTTTGCTTGGGCACATTTCTACAGCATCAGCTGACACAAATGAAGTGGAACAGCAACCTTCTTTCTCCACTGTGAAAGACTTGACCTTCCTCCTGACATCCACAGACATCTCAAGAGAAATGTGCCCAAACCAGATAGCTACATCCTCCTTAGCTTGCATTATTCCTAGCCAGCAAAAATGTTTTTCTTTACACAGTCATCAAAGGCCCTGGAGTTTATTCAGGAACATTAGATGAGACTGGTAGGCTTATAGAGCTACATAATTTAGAGATTAAAGTACACACAAGTAGAAATGTTACCTGACACCAGGGGAACCACAGTACACTCAACAGAAAACACCCTCTGTGTGGGTGACATATGGCCCATTAGCAGGGGGTCTGTGTTCTCAATTAACAGTCTAATCTCTGGGCAATGCAACTATTTGCATTTGCACCAGAGTTTTATAATCCCTTTTTATTGGCATAGGTCATCATACTTGGCTTTTTTATTGTCTCATGAAGTACGATTTGGGCAACTGGGATAAAACTAGATTTTCCTTGTACATCCTTGTGGAGGGGCTGACTGCTGAGGCATGCAAGCGACTCAATCTTAGAAAATGGACTGTAAAAATGTTTTTATTTCATTTATTCTCTCTCCCTCTCCCATTCTCTCTCTCTCTCTCTCTCTCTCTCTCTCTCTCTCTCTGTGTGTGTGTGTGTGTGTGTGTGTGTGTGTGTGTGTGTGTGTGTGTGTTGGCCTGTCAATAAGCACCATCCCACTGGCCTGGGAAACAGACCTTTTTGCATTTACATCGAAGAAGCAAAGGAAATGCCTACTAAGTAGCCTCACTTTATATGGACTGGTATAAGACTTTTACAAAGTTGAAAAGCTGCACAAAATCAATCTAGTCAACATTCTAGCATGGAGGGGATAGGAACTCATGAACCTCTACTAACTGAGGAGCTATTGACAGTTGATGACTTCTGTACAAGGGAAAAAGTGTGGCCCCGATAGACTGACCATCTTCCAGTGGATGACCCCCACACCCAGGAATAAACAGTCATTACAAACTGGGCTCATATTAGAGAGGACATGGCATTGGGAGGAAGTGGGGCGGTGATGGGTGGATCTGAGAAGAGTCAGGAGTAGAAGTGAGGGTTGAATATGATTAGAATACATTGTATAAAATGCTCAAGGAGTTAAAGTATTAACTTCAAAAGCTGAAGGGATGAAGGGACATTTTGTAGTAGCCATACTACACTTAGATATGGAATTATCTTTATTTTATTTCTTATCCAAATGTCTCTAGAGTGCCTTGTCAAGTCACTGCTGTTAGCCCCTCAGTGGCAACTAGAGATGAGCTTTTGGCCTCCTTTCCTCCCGTCCCGAGTATCCCTCAGTTCCTCTTACCCTGGACGGAGAATGATCCACCACAGGCATAATCTTCAGGTTTTATCACAAACACCACGAAGAACTGCTCATCTGAAAAATCCTTCTTCTGTGTAAGATATAACAACATCATGATTCACAGGGAAGAAAGATAGCCAGGAGGAGACAGTCCAGGGGGTGAGGGGCAGTAAGGGAAAGGGAGAAAAGGACAGGTCACCACCACTCTCTAAGTCCCCAGAAAGGGCTCAAACATTCTCATACTCTGTTGCAGACCATGAATGAACATTACTTCATTGAAGAAATGAATATAAGTGGATACATGGAGAATTTAAAAATCTGTGGCTACATGAGGACTTAATACTATAATAAACACAATAAACCATAACATCAATTGCCTAGACTATCAAATGACATTTGTATATACATGTATATACATATACACACACATACATTTGAGATGGTCTTGCTATGTAACTCAGGTTGGCCTTGAACTTTTGATCCTCCTGCCTCAGCATCCTACACACCGGCAATACAGCTACGCATCCAGGAATTTAAAATCTAATGAAAAGCAACTTGTCTAAAATCATGCAGTAAATGGTTAAATAAGTAGTGCAGGCCAGGGAGTCAGAGGCCTTGGGTTAGGACTGGGTTGTGGCTTTAGCTTTGATTTCTGTGCCTGTGCTGTTTCATTCCTGGTTCATGAGTTAGTCCCTACTCATGGAAGTGGAGTTGACAAGATAACCATACATTATAGTTCTTTAACCCAGGTATTTTTGACATGCTCAATTTTATAATATTGTGTTTAGTTCACTGAGAAAATGTCTAAAATGGAGCACAAGTCCAGAAAAAGAATAATAATTTACTGCCAAATACACTGTAGGTATGGCTATGCTTTGCCTTTCATTAACCTGGGAAGAGAGATGATCAACTGAGAAAAATGTCTTCATAAGATGGGTCTGTAGGAAAGTCTGTGGAACAGTTCCTTGATTAATGACTGATGTGGAAGAGCCCAGCCCACTGTGGATGGTGCCCTGGGCAGGGGGTCCTGGCTTGTGTTAAACGCCAGCTGAGTGAACCACGGAAAGACAGCCAGGAAGGAGCGTTCCTCCATGGCCTCTGCTTCACTTCCGGCCTCCAGGTTCCTGCCTTGCCTTCCTGCATGGTAAGCCATAATATGGAGGTATAAGCCAAATACCTCTCCAAGTTGCTTTTTGTCATGATGTTTTATACAGCACTAGAAAGCAAATGAACACCTACTCTGTTGTTGCTGTTTGTTTGTTTTGTTTTTTTTGTCTTGTTTTCAATTTGAGGGAGTCATATCATTCTGGTATGCTAAGGCAGAAATAAACATGAACAGCAAGATATGCAGGGTATTAAATCCTTGATGCTCAAAACCTGAAGTTTGACTGATAGAAACTTTTAGGTCTGATATCTAAATTATATTTAGCTTCTCTCCATTTTTGTGTGTGTATTAATCAACAAGCAATGTTGCCTTAGGCTACAGGGACAGTTGAAGTCACAGATTTCTTAAGTACCAACCCAGAGACTGGGATGGATTGTCTCTTGGAATATGATGACATAATATATGTACCTTTTTGCTATACCAACCACTGAAGTATCATTTTGGTTACAAATACCAAAAGGACAAAGTACTCCCCAAATAGGGTCCATTTACCTTTGGATCTGTTATTCTGTCTATTCCAACTTTTGGTGAGTGTTACTGGTAGAAATTACTATAATACATTCAACTGCTTTAAATAGCTGTAATAAACTTTACCCTAAATTGCCACACCTCACTGAATAAATTGGAACCATCTGCCCTTATCCCTATAAGCAATCTGTCAGCTATATGTCCTACTGCACTGTAGAGTCCCAAGAACCCCCAAGGGGATAAAAGAACACCTGGCAGGGTAGCGTTGTCCACCACTACCCAGGCACTGACTGCAGGCACCACTCATTTTTAAACAAATTGGAAATAAAAGAGATTCAAGGTACACAATGAACAGGTTTCTCCTTTGGTCCACTGGGCAAGTAACTATCAGTTGAGCCCCATGACTGTTAATGACCTCAGAAGTAACATCTCACCTGCAGTGTGATGGCGGCTTGCTTGGTCATGGATTGATAGACACCATTGAATTCCACATTGTGGTCCAGATCATACACTGGACACTAAAGTACATGAGAAACAAAAGAGAGGGGATCAGCATTGTCACCCAATATTCTTCCACAGGCAGGTGTTAGCGCTTTGACACCTGTATCACAGGACGGGGGGAATCAAATTAATCTAGACACCATGGAAACTTTTCTGCAGAACAGTCATGAAGTGGTCCTCTTAAAACTTGGGCTTTGCATGGCAGGGTGGTGCACACCTTTAATCCCAGCACTCGGGAGACAGAGACAGGCAGATCTCTGAGTTTGAGGCCAGCCTGGTCTACAAAGTGAGTTCCAGGACAGCCCAGACTATACAGAGAAACCCTGTCTCGAAACAAACAAACAAACAAACAACAACAAAAAAAACAAGAAAAACCCTTGGACTTTGACCTAAAATGTCAGAGTCACTCTATATTCAAGAGAACTATAAAAAGATTGCTTTAAAGTATAGAACATCCTCCCCTCCCTTTTTTGGTTAATGTTTTGTGATACAGAAAGAACCTGATGTTATGATAACTACCTAAACCAAAACAGGTGGTAGGTTTTTATCTTATTTTTCTCATTGAACTCACAACTGGGTTTTCTTTGTTGTTTGTCCTGGCCTATTTTCTCCTGCCTTCTTTTCTTTGCATTGGTGAGAAGGCAGCTTCTTCTTATTGCTCATCAGTGTCAGCAAACATGGACTGCCCACTAAGGTACATGGGCATTATTTGGTACGTTGTTATTATTTGGCATTTGGGGGAGATGAATGGTAAGAGGAGGACACAAGTCCCCAGTCCGTCTATTCTGGAACACTGTGATCTTACAAGCTAGGAGGCTGACATGACAGTATCAGGGCTCACCATGATGTTTTGAACAGAGACAACTGAGCATGGATAAGCCTTCTCAGACACCACTTTAATGATAACGGAGTCCACGTCTTCAGGAAACTTGTATAGAAAATACTGAGAATGAGAAAGAGAGATGTGATTAATCTTAGGAAATGTTTAAAGAAACTCAAACCATCATCCCACATGCATGGGATTTCTCTTCCATTAAGTGTGAATTTCTGATGCAGAGTTCAGTGACTGGCCACTGTTTCAGGCATCTGTTTATCTCATACATATTGAGCTGTTCTCCACAGGGTGCTGTACCAGACATGAGGAAGATTTGCAAAGTCGAGTGGCCATTTACACAAGGCTGCCTTTCCATTTTATGATATGGACATTTCTTATCAACCAGCTTATACTAGGGTTCATTCCATTAGGCACCTGCTGTCAGCCTCTCTCAAAGTCAGAGATACATAGGATGTCACCTCAGACAACAGTTCTTACTGTGTGGTAGCGCTGTGAAATCTGATACCACACCTTGAATAGCAGATGTTCCTGTTCCTCAAGAATTTTGACCTTGTCAGAGGGAAGAATTAGCTTTATTTCAGTCTTTCCTAAGCCTTTTGGAAAAGAATCCTTACCCTGACTGAGATATTCTTAAGAAGATACTTAGATCAAATGATTAAACTTGACACTGAGCTCTTGAAATATGTTCATGAGTTTGGGTAAATATAATCTTTCAAGTATCAGTAGTCTCTCTCTCTCTCTCTCTCTCTCTCTCTCTCTCTCTCTGCCTGCAAAGGCCCGAGAGGGTGCCTACTAAGACCAGAAGGCAAGCTATGTGCAGTCATGAGCTGCCCAAGGTGGGTGCTGACAACCACCTCCAGTCTTTTGCAGGAGCAATGTGTACTCTTGACCTCTGAGCTATCTCTCCTAATCCATAAGCAGCAAAAAAGAAGTGGCACTATTGACCTACCTCAGTTACAAATCCATTGGAAAAATACATTAATTTTTAAACATTTTAAACACATTTAAAAATGGGGGATGTTATCTGTAGAAAATTTAGCCCAATAATTTCAAGTGTGGCAACTGTATAAGAAACATCAAATTTGTGATTTAGGTTTTGCAGAAAGCTACCCAAACAATTCTGATATCTTACAGACCTAGTAAACATACCAGTTTTAAAAAGAGATAAGAAAGTCAAAATTTAGTTTTGTCTTCTAATATGGCCTTTACTAATGTTATTTTGAGAACTAATTCAATAAAAATAGAACGTCAGAATTTAAAAATGCCATTCACATTCCTGTTTAGAAATCTTTCCATGCTGTGTGTGACTGTATTTTGGAGCATGATTCAAATACACACAAAATAGGGTTATTCCAAGGAGAAGCCTGGAGGTCCTAGGGTGGTCTCAGGGTAGCCATACTTTAAAACTCAAGAGTATTATTGTGAGCAATGAATATATATTACTAGCTGTTTTTTGTTAACTGTCAATATTTTTGAACACTTATAAGTATGTCAAACTATTATCAGCCTTATTTATATCTAAATTACTACAAACTCCAAAGGAATGTTTTAGACCCTTGCCTTGAAATATGTTTTAATCAGAAAAAAAGATTCTGCTTTTATTTTATGTGTATGTTTTGTTTGCATCTATGCCTTTGTACCCACATGCACACAATTCCCCCAGGAGATCAAAAGAAAGCATTATATCTCCTGGAATTAGAATCAAATGCTGCTATGAACCACCATGTGGGTACTAGGAACTAACTCCAGGTCATCTACAAGACCAGCAAAGTGCCCTTAATTGCTGACCCACCTATCTAGGTTCCCTTAATATCACTTGAATTTAAATGGTCACCAACTATTAAGAACAACTTATGCCCTGTTGCCTTTCTTGCCATTGGGTGTCAGTATGTACATAGGATGACTTTTACAGAAAGGAACTTTACGTGTCAGTTTTTTTGAGAGCCAGTTTTTTGTGTGGCTTAGCTGGTAGAGCACTTGCTCAGCAAGAGCAAGGTCCAGGGTTCAATCCCCAGAAGTACATACAAAAGTGGGCGTTCATTTACACAGGTTTACTGCTTTGTATATCTATTCCCAACACAATGAATGACATCATATGGACCATTCAAAAATCCACCATTGCAAAGGGCAAAAAGGCCTTGTACACACAGATAAGCACCAGAGAAGCTAGAAAAGTCAAACACACGACTTACCTCCTCCATGGAACGAGGTACACAGATGCTCTTCCTGGAATGTCAGGAGTGATGCAGTTTTAAAACCTGGTGATCCCTTGCTGTCTGATGAGACAGTCTCTGCCCATATCTTCCAGAATTTTTGCTTTTATTTACCCCAGACACTTTCCCCTACATCTTGAGCATTCCTTAAGGCCATAAAGCCAATCTATTATGAATGATATCAAACCTAAGTGACTTCTTTGTTATCTTAGGGCCAGGTCAGTGCTGACACCCACAGCTTTTATGTTTACCTCAGTCCAAATCCCTAGACCTTAAATCTTAGGCACTATCTCTGAGTCAAAAGTACCCATTCTTGTGAGAGAACCCAGATGTGCTTTGTAAAGAATCTCAGTGTAAATATACCTTAAATTGTTGTGTACTTGGGACTAAGTTGTTACCTGAATACTTTTTTTCCCCCTAAAACTGTGCTGTGCTTGATTATGGCTAATGTAAAATGATGTGGGCCAGACTCTAGAAGCCCTGCTCCAGCACCTGTTCCAATCAAATTGGGCTGAGCCAAGTTTTGTTCTTACCCTGCCCTGATTGTCTTCCCCTGCCTGCTATAAAGCAGGAGAATCACCACAAGCTTTGGTGGAGGAATTTATACCCCAGGAATGGACAGAAGATACAAATCAAGTTTTTCCCTGTCCCAAACTAGTCATCAAATATTTACAAGCACATCAATGATTGTAACAGACTTACAAAAATCCACCATATTTAATCACTAGTTTTACTGTATTCAAAACAAAAGCTAGGTAGCCCTTTATGATCAAATTCATATTAAAGCCTTCAAAAACATAGGATAAGTACTGTGACTGTAGACCAGTCTTTTTTTTTTTTTTTGTTTCAAGATGGTGTCTTAGTATGCAGCCTAGGCAAGCTTGGAACTTGCTATATAGCTCAGTCTGGTCTCTAATTCACATTTCTCTTGTCTTGATGTTGATGTTTAAAGTGCTAGGATGATGGTTTGAACCACTATATAGGGCCAAGAATCCATTTTGAACTTGTTACAGCATAGATTCTTTCAGAAACTATGGGGGGGAAAAGGTAGTAAGAAATGTCATCAGAAAAACAACCTCAAAAAAAAAGTTTCATGTATTTGTTCTGCTTGAAGTTATTTTTTTTTTATTGAGGAACACATAAAAATAGCTAAGTATTTTTACTGACAGAGGACACAAATCCAATCTGCCAATATTGCGGCACGAATGGAAATCTGTCTTATTTTTACATTTTCAGAAGAGCTGTTGCATATGTTTGCTGTCCTTCCACGCTCTGTCTCCCCAGCCCATCTCAGTCACCAGGTCTATAATCACAGAGTTTGTGCTTATCTTCTCCTCATCCTTCCTACCACACCCAGTACCGACCATCCAACTTCCCTTGTGACATATCAGACAAGTGATTTTACTCAATGACATAGGCATGTAGGAACACTAGCATGCTTCCCGTTTTATCCCAATAACGGTGGTAAGATTAAATGCTGTGTTCAAGATCTCAGTAACAATTAAGAATACATAATGCAAGATCCAGGATAATAACACATGCTGAGTTCACTCTCCCTGTCCCATGGAGTGCGCAACACCAGAAGGTGGGTTCTTGTTAACTATGGGAACCTTTTACTTACCTGAGGTTGAGAGGGGCTGGCAGTGAAGTAGAAGGCAACATTCGTCCTGAGAAATATGGGGGGAAAAGGAGAGAGAAGAATGAATTGGCAAGCAAGAACTAGCTACTTAAAGGAGAACCACCTTAACCTAGACACCCAGGACCTTACCCTTCTTGAAAAACATTTGGTTCTGCAATCTGATAAACTTCAAGAATACTTTGTAGTTTCAACAATAAAGAATGATGAAATTGGGGAAGAAGATTATTTTTACATCTTTAAATATCCATTAGGTCATTATGGTTGCCTTTGCTTCGGAATCTCTTAAGATATTCCAATCAAGTAATATAATCAATCAAGATTGATCATGAGAAGTGGGTAGCAAGAGAGGAAATGCAGGCGAGAGTCCTTTGGAATAATGTAGGTGTCACTCCACAATAACTTTAATGGATCCACCGCAAAAGAGCAGAGCTTTAAAAACAGGGTGACCACTGTGGGACAATTGTCAGGAGTAGCACTAAGCTCTTCTTGCCCCAAACTTCTCCCCAGTCTCCTGCAACACCTGCTGAATTCTCCAAAATGTTATTCTCTTTGGCTTCAGGTTTGCCCTCTAAAGCCCATCTATAAAATAAAAGTACCACCCAAAGAACAAAGGTACTTGCTCTTTAAATGGAATTTACTGTGAATAGCTTTATCATAGACTAAGACCACAAGGATCTAGGCACACAGAGAGGAAGAGGGCTAGAATTTTGTAAGAGATATAAGGTTTTGTAGCATCAAGTGATCTCTGTTATGAACATCTGTGAAGTATTTCAAGAGGCTGGGAAATACAAAGACAAATTTGTTTTCCACAAGGGCTGTGCCCTTCTGCACATGTTCCTTGTGGCTCTGGTCTCATCTTAGCACTATGGAGTACTCGAGTCCACCGCACCTGAGTTCCCAAGACTGATAAAAGGGCCACTCTCCCAATGCCTCTCCCTCCTGGCATTGCTGAGTCTGAACCTGAACTTCTGGGCAATTCACCATCTTCATTCCCTATGATTCTCTGAAGACTTTCTTTCCACTGACAATATTCCTCTTATAAAAATGAAATGGTTTAAAAATTAATAATTTCTTTAGAAATGTCATGTCCAGACACTTAGGCAAGGTACATATAATAAGAGACATTACTTAAAAGTCATAAAATTTGAGCACCATTTACAAAGGTAATGGCTGGACTGCCATTGGTCTGGTCTCAGAAGTGAGCTTACAGAAATGGGTGCAATTTTTATATATTAATTTTATATAATAATTTTATATATTATATATATTATACATAATTTTATATATTGGCATAAATTGCTACCTATGCAGGTGATTGGTTCTACGGGAGCACTGTAGTAAACTTCTGACCTCAAGTCATCTAAAGGTAGCAGCATCACTATCAAATGAAGTGGTATGTCCCCTTTAGAGCTCATAGCTAGAGTAAAGGCCAGAGTGCTGTGTTGTGTATGGCCTGGGACAAGCCCTCTCAAATCTGGGAAGTGTCATCTGCTGTTAGCAGGGCAACATGGGACCTTTAATGCTCTCATTCCGAGATCAGGGGAATGACGAAGTGAACACTGACTTTCTAGGTTAGCAACAGAAAGCACGAGATTTCCTGAAGCAATATGAGTACTTTGACCAGGAGTTTGATTTTTATAAATGTCTCTCATGATTTGAATTCTAATTGTAATACTGGATCAACATAGACTTTCTGTTTTCTTGTTTGTTTGTTTGTTTTGGTTTGGTTCCTTGGGTTTTATTGTCTTTAAAACAGAAACATTTAAGCCTTCTGTTATTTTTTTTTTTCTTGAGCTAACAGTAGCTACAAAATCAACAGTATGTCCATGGAGGTGAAACAATATTTGCTAGTGTGGCCCTGACTGAGGTGAGCAAGGCGGATCTTATCCTAGGCCCACACTAGTTAACAGCACAAAGCTAAGGAAACTCACCGGCACCTTTAGTGTTAGTGCCAGAGGCAGCAAAGTTCTCATTGGTTTGTTTCAAAATGAAGCACAGGAAACAGACGCTTACACAAGAGAGTAAAACCCAATTTTGTTCAGCTGCTTTGGCTGTTAGAGTAAGGGAAGAAGGGAAAGGAGAGACTCTTGAGTCAGGAGGGGAGATGCCTGTAAGGCTGGGGAAAGAGTAGGCAGAAGGGTGAGCAGGGGGATGGAGTAAGAAGAAAGAAGTGTTTATAGGAGAGTAATAAAATAGAAGACAGAAGAAAAGGTGAGTGCATGGAGAGCCAGGGACAAACTGTCAGTAGTTCTGAGTCACAGGACCTTAAGTCTCCTATCAGTGAGCTCCTGGCAGGGCACAGAGAGCGTTCCAAATCCCACTTTGTTTGTTGAAGGAAACGATGTATGATTACTTGGCACCATGAACTTCACGCTGTCGTTCCCTGTTATCTGCTGATTGCCATCTGTTGTGAGCTCCCTTCCAAGCCCCCGCCCTTTCGGCCAGCCCTCCTGTTACCTCTTGCTCTCCAGGGTTCATCCTTCTGGGGTGGAGGTCTGTACTTGGATCCACTATTTCTTCCTGTCTCTGGGACTCAGTGTCTACAAATATCAACTCACTTATTTATCAGCTTTGCCCTTTCTGCTCCTTCATTTGTCTCGATCATTTCAAAAAAGTAACAGACCAATCCAACTAAATTCTTCCCTTACTCCTCCCGTGTGTGTGTGTGTGTGTGTGTGTGTGTGTGTGTGTGCATGTGCGCGCGTGTGCGCACCCATGTTCATGGGTACCCACGAATGTGGGAAGAAAGGCCAGAAGTCAGTTAATGTTGAGTGTGATTCTCTACTGCTTTCCATCTTATTTTTCTTAGTTAAATTTTTATCCTTTGAATATCTTGTAGATGTCTACAACATATGTTAAACATTTTTGCCCCTGACTCTCAATTCCCCCAGCATATTTCACTTCTGGTCTTAAGTCATCATAGTTGTCTTCTCCTCCTCCTCCTCCTCCTCCTCCTCCTCCTCCTCCTCCTCCTCTTCCTCCTCCTCCTCTTCTTCCTCCCCCTCCTTCTCCTCCCCCTCCTCTCCCTCCTCTTTTTCTTCTCCTCCTTCTCTTCCTCCTCCTCCTCTTCCTTCTCTCCTCCTCTTCCTCCTCTTTCTTCTCCTTCTTCAAAAAAGCATGTGGCTGAGGCACACTAAGGCATGGCCAACCTGTGGTGGTCACCCTTAAAGAGAAGTGACTTTTGCTGCTGTAGCAGCCAACTGTCAACAGATCCTCAGCTGGAGGTAGAGTCACAGATGCCCCTCCTGCCTCCATGTTGGAAATTTAAAAAGATTTATTTCAATTTAAATGTGTGTGTGTGCCATATTTGTGGGTGCCTGCAGAGGCCAGAAGAAGGTGTCAGAGTTCCTGGACTGAAGTTACAGGTAGTTGTAAGTCACCATGTTGGGGCTGAGAACCAATCTCTGACTCTCTGGAAGAGCAGTGAGTACTCTCTCTCTGAGCTATCTCTCCAGCCTTGCTGTGCAGAAATAATGAGAAGTACACTCCCTATGCAACAGGAGATTATCTCGGAGATAGCTGTTACAATTTATTACTGTTATTATAAAGAACTATCCAAATTTCTTTTGTATGTGTATGGTTTTGAAGCAGGCTTTGGTTTGTATGTGTATGGTTTTGAAGCAGGCTTTGGTTTGTATGTGTATGGTTTTGAAACAGGCTTTGGTGTATCCCAGACTGGCCTCAAATTTGCTTTGTAGCTGATCATAACCTTGAACTTCCGATCATCCTGCCTCCGCTTTAAGTGGTAGGATTCCAGGTATGGGATTCCACAGTTTGGGCAGTGCTGCGTGGCTAACTCATGGCTTCATGCATGCTAGACACGCACCCTTCTACAACCCTAGGAGGTACTGAAATTACAATCAAACATTGCAGGCTAAGACCTAAAAAGGAACATAAAGGTAGCGAAAGTAGGATTGAGACAAGGCAATATGAATTAATGATCATGACAGACAGGATAGGGAGAAGAGGGAGCATGCACTGAAATGTCTGGGGCACAGGGTCTAGTGCATTTGTTTGACACGGGGTCTCATGTAGCCCAGGCTGGTCTCAAACTTGCTGCCTAGCTGAGGATGACCATGAACTTCTGATCCTCCTGCCTTTATCTTCTAAGTGCTAGGACTACAGGTATATACTACTATGATAGAATAAAAGTTTGCTCATATACAAGCATCTAGATGATTACTACTACCACTACTACTGCTACCGCTACTACTACTAGATACGTTCACTAAGTCCCATAAGGTCATTCTCACTATGGTGGTTTGAATATGCTTGGCCCACAGGAAGTAGCAGTATGAGGGGGTGTGGCCTTGTGGAAGGAAGGGTTTCAATGTGCAAATGGACTTTGAGGTTTCCTAGTGCTCAAGCTCCACCCAGTGAGGAAGAGATCCCCTCCCCTCCTGGCTACCTGCAGAAGACAGTCTCCTTCTGGCTGCCTTTGGATCAAGGTGTAGAACTCTTGTCTCCTCCAGCACCAATTCTGCCTGCACGTCGCCATGCTTCCTAGCATGATGATAATGAACTGAACCTCTGAACTGTAAGCCAACGCCAATGAAATGTCCTTTATAAGGGTTGCCTTGGTCATGGTATCTCTTCATAACTGTGACACCCTAAGACTCATCACTGACACTGGTTGTCATTCTTTCCTCCTCAGACTCTTTCATCATTCTTAGTTAATTCCAGCTGGCTATCCCTCATCTTCATTGCCAGCGGGTCTCAGTCCTTAGAGGAACCATGTGCAGAGGACTCCCCAGCCCTGCACAGTCCCCATGCTCTTCAGGAAGCTGCTCCTCTGTCCCTCCTCTCACCCATAACTCTTCATCTCTGCTAGTTTGCTCTGTTCCCTTTCAGCGCTCTCTAGAATTCCAGTAGAGAATTTCTCTTTTGTTTTATTTGGGTCAATTTGTTAACGGCCAGCAGGTCATATTTCAGTCAGCTTTCTAGTCATAGAAGATCCCTGCTGTCCACTCTTTACTTTGGCCCTTCATGAGGAGTTTGTCAACACACCCTGGGGTTTAGAGAACACCACATCCCAAGCAACAGGAGGAAGAGGGATGCAGGCTGGATAAACTGTACCTCCATTTATAATCCTGCTGAAAGCCATAGTCATTAGTGCTGGACAAGATGGAAAGAGGTAATGGAGAAGTATGTACCAGTACCAAACCACATGTCCCTGCTGAAGATTGCTTCCTATTTGTTTTGCCCTGGTTATTTTGAGAGACTCCATTGCTATAAGGAATAGATTAGCAGCCTGGGACTCCACTTGGATTGGGGTTTGCACTCACCTCTCTCCTAATAATGCACCCAGCAGCCTGTTAGATTAAGATCCCCTTCCTGCATTGAGCTGCATGCACACTGTCCTCCAAACAAAAGAATAAGTTTCCCTTCCTCTTAATGATCACCTAGAATGGGCAGTTTCTATTTAATCTTACTCTAGATATCTCTGAGCATAAATAGAAGGGTGTCCAGTCATGTCTGAACTACTTTTGGATTCATGCACAGTAAGACAAACTGTGGCTTCTGAATGAAGATTTAGGGAGAATTGCCTTTTATTATCTTGGGTCTATGCATAGTTGAGCATAGCATGATTAAGATCTGATCCATCATGAGAAAGGACACGCAGAATGATCAAAGGCTTACATAATCTATGTCGGTCAGTCAAAACAGAACCATATGTGATATGCCCTTATCAACCATACTCTTCCTGTTCTTGAACCCCATGAAAGGGAACCCCAAATAATAACCAAGGCCTTTGAGTACTCTTGTGTGGTCTGTGACTCCTGACCACAAATTTCTGATCTGTACTATTGATTTTCTTTTGAATAGTATTTTTGTTCTAATCTGAAATCTGTGTGCCTTTATTTCAAGTACTTGAATAAGAGGCCAAATCTGGAAGCACCTAGCCCAGACTGCAGTCACTGGTAACGTCTAAAAGTCAGACAGCGGTCTTCTGCTCTAGCTGGGATGGAGTCTCTCCTCCTTGATATACAAAACCCAGACAAAACCCTTAGGAAGAGATCAGCCCACAGCTTTGCAGTTAGTGAGACTGCTTCCACACTGGACTGTTGGGCCACAGTGTTGAGAGCCCAGTGGATACAGGAAGTTCATTGTGTGAGGATACAGCTTGTTGGTAATGTTGTAAGTCATAGCATCTGACATTCCCCATAAAGAAAAAAGTGTAGCCGAAGATCAGAAAGTATCTCTTTGAAGCAAAGTTCTGGTAATTTCTACATTTCAAGTGCCTTCTAAGCCAACAAGAGAAGGGGATTGTTAACTGTGAATTCCCTTGACCAGGTTCTACATGAAGTCACCCCTGCTTGAAACTGATCGTACAGTCACCATTGTTCAATCTTCATTTCCTCTAACCAAATATGATGCCATTCTGTGCCCCCATTACCCTTTTCCTTCATATTCATTCAAGTTTTGTGAATTTTGCCTCCTACATTTTTCAAGACACCTCCTCGCTTTCTACCTTGATCATTCTTTGTATCAGCCTTCTAACCTCTCTGCATCCAATACTGTCTGTCTCCTTCAACCCTTCCCTCACACTACTAATAGTGCAACGTAGACAACTGTATTCTCAATGCCTCCTTATGTTCCCCCCACCCCTACCTTACATCCCTCCTACCATCCAGTGGCTGTTTCTACAATGCCCCATCCCCACCGTTCCCTGCCTACAACTACAAATCCTAATGACACAAAATGGCTCATTGTTACTGGGAGTTGTTGGGAAGATGGCGTACATGTGTGTGAAAAGAGCAGGAGGAACGTTTAAAGGCACAACTGTCTTACTTAAAAAATCTGAATTAGAGTAAACAGATGCTTTGTGCAATTGAGAAGCATATTTAGGAAGGTGTAAATTTGGGATGATAGACTCAAAGGAAAGAGGAAATAGTGTGTTAAGAAGAGATGAACTTAGAAGAGGAAGCCAGAAACAGAGTCCAGCTTTGATTTTTGCCCTTTTCTGTCTTTGTGAGTTTGGAGACGATCCTAGCATCTCTATGAACCTCAGAGCTGGGTGTGGTGATGCATCCCTCTTGTCAGGGTGTCTTAGGAGATACGAGGATAGATGGCTTGGGCCTAAAAGTCCTAGGCTAGACTGGCAGCATAGGTAGACCCCATCTTAAATAAGAACAACAAAAATCTCTGGACATGTGTGTTCTAGTCTGTCGTTCCTAACTGCATTGCAGAAACTGCAATGTCAGGCCTTATTCTCAATACCTGGAGTCTGGTGCTTACCACAGCCCTCATCTGGACTCCATGACTACCATCCTCTGGATTTCTGGTGCACCAACAAAGTTGGTGAATGGAGAAAGGAAGAAATACACACAGCATACCTACTACCTCTCCTCAGGCTTGTGTGTTTCTTAATGCTTTCAAGGTCTGTTTGATGCCACAAAGCCATATTGCATGAAGTGAAAACAGAAAACAACGTGGCAGAATACATTTGCATGTCACTCGTTAACAGGACTGAATGACTTCAGTTTCATAGCTTCCTTTCTGAGGATTCAAATTACCTCACTGAAAAATCAGCCCTGCAATTCACACTAGCTGCCGCCAGGTGACAGTAACAGATCAAAGGTACAACTGACAAAGGCAAGGCTTTCCTGAAGGTTCAAGTTGAATCTAAGAATGCTTTGCTCATCTGTAAAGATGGCCACTGAGCTGAGTGTCCACAGACAAAACAGAGCTGAAAGCCGAGAGCCATGTTCACCTGCTTACCGGAGCTGGAAGTGCTTGATTTTGGTGACCAGCAACTTGTAGTGGGCGCCGTGGGGAGCCATGGATGCTACATCTACAAAGATCAGCTGTTCCAAAGGGCCAGTCTCATTGGTTGCTTTCGAAGGACATAGGGTTCGGCTGACTTCCTGGTAGTTGTAGCTCCTTTGGTATCTGTAGCCATGGGTGTAGATGTCAGCAAGGAGAAGGAGACACAGTGAACAGAGCCAGGAAGAACGCTATCTCACTTTACTCCTCTCTAATTTGGCTCTAAGTTCTGTGCTTTCAATTTCAGGCTAGGCCCATTGATAGCAGTCCTGGAACCCCTGTTGTTGACATCCGTTGTATGACAGGGACATAGGGACTATTATCTCCTGACTAGTACAGTGAGCAGTAGCTATACTTCATTAAGTCAGACTCTCAAGTCATTCAAGGAAAAACGCCAAAATCTTAGGGAGGAACTCTCCTAATTAAGCAGCCAGTGGAGTCTTTTCTTTTTTTTCAGTTTCCCTGATTTCAAGTTAAAACAATCAGACTTAGAATTTAGTGCTCAAATTCCAGAAGCTTTAAAACCCATTCAGTAACACCTCCTCAGCTGTCTTATTTCTCTACACCTCTTGGGCTTTATATTGGTGCCACAGTGCTTTAATGAACTCTCCTTGGTACAACAGGTACTCTGCCAGGACAGAGAGTTCTGTTGTTCTTCATAGCGTCTTCCAGAACCTTTTGGCTCTGCTCTGTAAATGCCACTGAGTGAAGAACGCACACAGAAGAGGCATTGCTAAGTACAGGGTTGGTGCTGCTTATATGTTGACTGGCTATGGGATGACCCATTTTCAAAAGAGGGAATAGAATATTATGGTAGATTTTCAAACGGTGTAAATTTTCCTAGGTGCTGAAAATCTAGGCAGAATGCTCATCTGAAATTCAGAGAGAATAGAAATGTATACCACTGACCAGCCTTGGGGCATCCATTGTTTGAATTTGGCATGCACTACCCTGGCATTTGCATGCCTGAATTCTCTTCTGGCTAAGGGGGAAAAACAGACAACATAAAACAAAACAAAAAAACCCAGCTAAGTCTAAGGACATTGAAGAGTGTCAAATGTAGTGAAGTTGCCTGGCCAGAGAATACTTACAGTCCTTGGAAGAGCAGAGGAACCTGCCATGACAACACTTCTTTCTGCTGGCGAACCACAACCAGGACTGGATAGTCCAGGTTGTCAGAGGAACTGTTGACATGCACCCGCACGGCCGTCACCTATGAGGTGGGTGAAAGCAAGCTCACTGATGCCTGACATTTCTACCCATGACAGGTACCCCAAACACCCCAGTTGTCCTTTATTATCCAGAGTGCATCTCGACCTCGACCACATGTTGAAGTTGCCCCAGGAAATAACTGATGCTTTGGATACAATCTACTTAAAATTCTGATTCAGTTATTCTGGGATGAGGCCAAATTACTGAGCCTCCACGTAGCAAGCTGAGGAGTTTGAGCTGAGCAGTCAATATAAGGCTTCAAGAATAACTTCAGAAGAAAAGAGATGGTCTAGTGCTTTCTCTCCAACCTGCAGCACGTCCCATGGAGGCTGAGTCCTTCCTGCTCAGGGGTAAACAGGTCACTAACACACCCTTCCTCACCCAGTGGCTCACAGCGTGATCATGGATGAAGAAGACAAGCTAAGTCAGCTTCTGAAGCTACGGGGTTTTGGTACTTAAAAAATTTACAATGCCATATGAAATATAGAAAATAATGAAGGAAAATAAAGAAGAGTAAAGGAGAAACTAAAATTTAATCTTCCACATGACATTTTAATTTATGGGTCCATTGCCTTTATAATCTCTTCAAAGTTTCTTTCTTAGGGAGCTGGTAAAACAGCTCAGCAGTCAGCTCAGTGGCTTAACTGTTTGCTCTGCAACCAGAGTTCAGATCCCCAGAACCCAAGTAAAATGCTGAGTGGGCTAAGTCGCCTTTCTGCCTTGGGATGTGGAGACAGACGACCTCTGGAGCAAACTGATGAGGGGGATTAGCTGTATCAGCTTTGGCTTTGTCCCTGCCTCAGTGAATAAGCTGGACAAGTTATTAAAGACACCTCTCATCCACTACCTCCAGGCCTCCAGGTACACACATGTACATATGCACCTACACTTGCAAACATGCATGTCCTCTGAGTTCCACAGAGATGTCATAGCACACATGAACCTCACTCACACAATCACACACACACATACCACATTTCAAATGCAGGCTGAGAGGGAACAGACAGCCAGGGTGTTGTACCCCAGCACTCAGTTCTCTCTGTTCTCCCTGGCCAAGCCACTGCTTCACATTTTCAGTGTTAGCACAGCCGAAGAGTAATTTATTAATTTGATAAGAAACACTTGCTACCGGGGGAGCACTTCCTGTGCCTACACTATGTTTCCATGGAAATTGTGTTGCAGCTGATAATTGCTCAAACTCCATCTCTCGTGCAGACCTCTTTGTTAAACTGGGATTTCTGCAGGCCTCTCAAATTCAATGCGGCTTCATGGAGTCTTGCATTTCCTTCACTTCTGATTTTACTTTCTGTGATGAATGATTCCAGCATGCAGCTATTCATCTATGTCTGAAACCCGAGGGTCCTGTCTGGTCCCTTCTTCTGCCACTTCACACTGTTCTCACCCATGCCTCCCTCCCTCCTTGTTGATGCTCCACCCTCAATGCTTTCTTTGACTAAGCCCCACCCTCAGTGCCCTCTTTGACTAAGCCCCACCCTCAGTGCCCTCT